CACCACCTCCCTGGCAGTTTGTCCCAGTACTTGACAACCCTTTCCATGAAGAAATTCTTCCTGATGTTTAACCTGAATTACTGCCTAATGCACTTGTTTTAGTATAGCAGCTTGTGCCAAGCACTCTGCCAACTACCACTCAAAGTAGTACAGAAATTCACTTATGTTCCTGCTTATTTAAACCAACAATCACAAGAATGACATTCGCTTGACAAAACTGTTACACCTTAAAAAACAGCAACTGAAAAATTTAGCAATACGATCAAATTTATTCTCTGTTGCATTTATGTTCTGTCTCAATTACAGATTATTCCACTGACATTTGACATACAGCAGAATTCAGTTGAAATTTGAAATTTTCAGGTATCTCTGTCAAAATAATAGATTCACACAGTAAATCTTATTTTATCATCCCATAACAAACCATGCTGGATTTTTTTTTTCAAGGTGAATGCATCTTGCTATTTCTACTAAAAATACAATCATACTATACAAAATGTCATGCAGTTTCAAGGACACTATTTTCTTTTTCAGAAGTATGAGGTGGAAGACTAAAAGAGCAAGTAAGCAAACTATTTCATAGAGAAAGGAAAATGAAACCTGGTTTCCTATGGATTTATGCAGTGGGTTGAGCTCTATGTGACTTCTACCTAATTAGTATTTTGTTTATGCCGCATAATTCCCCTCAGATCATTAAAAGTTTAAGATTAAAGACTGGTAGGCTGTAGACGCTCAGTGTTTACTCTCAGACACCTGCTGATGCCATGATTACTCCACAGGTAAAACAAAAGACAACTCAGAGACATCATTACTAATATCATCAGATGGCTAGTGGCATACAGCTAGACCCACTATCTGTAAGTCCGACCATTCTCTGCAGGTGAAAACAAGGACAAAATAAGGAACTCTCTAAAATGAAATCTTATTTTTAAAAAAAGTATACTTGCCTATCCTGACGTAAACAAAATGCTGTACAAACTTGAGGTACTGTGAACCAAAAAGACAAGTTCTGTTGGAGAGAAAGAAAAGGGTTTCAACCTAACCATTCTATCTTCCATCAGGGGAAAAACCTCCAAAACCTAACACCAAATAAACCAAGGACTAAAACTGTAACAAGGTACCGTGCCTTCCTTGAGGCAGAGTGCTGAAACGTAAACTCCTGCCTACTGAGGCAGGTCAGAGATGGTAGATTACACTCTCATTCCTTCCAGCTTCTACTCTAGGGAATACCATAAATATCATAAATGACCTCTTTTCTTAGTCACTGGTCCGGAAACTTGCAGTTAATTAATTTTACCCCATTCAACATAAAGGCCTAGGACTCTATCCAAGTTTTTTTTAGTGAACATCCAGCAATAAATGCAAAGTTCCCCAGGCTTAGATAACAGTTTGTAACAGTGATTGGCAGCTCCTCTGAAAGTCTCCACAGTCACCCAGAATCGGAGCCTGCCCCTGGGGGGAGTCTTTTTGTAAATACTTCTTTCATGGCCTTGCCCAATCATACAGTTCATTTCATCATGAGTTAAATTTTACTGACACTCACCCAGCAAAACTAGAGTCTAGATAGTTGGTCAGGAAAATATTTTGAGCTGGGAACCTCTTAGGAATAAATAACTACTAATTAACCTACCCATACCAGCAGAGGAAAAGCTGGGTTTTTCTCTCCTCATCCTGGAAGGAGTAAAACTTATTTACTTACTTATTTTCTTTGAGAGTTATCTACACTGCTAGGGTATGTGCTATTTCTACTTATTTCAGCTAACCATCTCCAGCCAAGAATGCAAAAATCCCAAGATCAGGAGAGCACACAGGCTGATTCCAAAGACTACTGGTCACAGCATACAGGTACAGGTACACACACCCTCTAGCTCGTGCTTCTTGAACAACCAGCATCTTTTGTGCAGTCACTGGATTATAGAATAAAGATATCAAAAGGAACAAACTTAAATAGTAAATCTTTGACAAAATATACACAAAATTTCTAATTCATTTAGCAAACATAAGGTCCTCTTAACAGCAAAACTCTACAAAAGCACAGCTGGCATAACTACTTCCTGGTTTTGGTGCTATTGAATGACTTCAACCAAGACAGAGCATACAGAAGGAGAGAACATTTTATGGTAGAAATTACTATGGAAATCAAAGGGAAATGCTAACTAATTTAAGCCATGGTGCTTCCACTACTTTATTCACACATTTATTTGTAAGGTGAAGGTCCCAGCCACACAGTGAAATAACTCTGAAAGTCCTGTATCTGAAAATAGGATGAAATAGTTCTTAGAATATGGTACCAGAGAACAAGGGTTCCATCAATCAGTAGCGATGGCCTTAAAATTCTCCGCTTGCATTTCTGAAAATAAAAGGTTGACTTGTAAAACCTAGTAAAACTCTATGTGGGACTAAACAACATTGTCTGGGTCTCTTTATGTGGCCTGCCTGGGCAACCAGCCAGTAGACTGAAATAGTTTATTATCATACAGAAAACCTACCTGTAAAATCAATCACAGTAAGCTCTGCACAGGAAGTTCAGGGCAAGGGTGAAGTAGCCAGTTATAAAGCGTTGTTCTTGTGTTAATAGTCTATTAAATATGCATTTCTTCTCCGTGGTTCATTCTTTAGATTAAAGATGCCTGACAAACACCGCAGGAAGCTGTAAGTTAACATTACAATTTCATTGATTCTAAAAAAAAAACCCACAAAACAAAATACTGGAATGTAAACTATGAAAATACAGTTTTCATTTTAGATGACAAGGGAAGCTGTCTTGTTATCTCTCAATCCTACAACCCCACAAGAGGCATGCCAGAGTTGTCCAGTTTTTTTAATTAAGTATTTAAGCATGAAACATGTTCCACACTACTGATGTTAAATGAAAAATAACAGTCATTGTGTTTAAGACAAAGATAAATTAACTGAATCGAATCATTGCTGAAAGCAGAGAACTGGCAAACAAGAATTTGGAGTTACTATCTCCCCTCTGAAATGACCTCTGGCCACATCCAGTGAAGCAGTTAGGCCAAAGAAATGTACAGATGTTCTGAACTATGGTAAGAACAATCCCATGTGCGCTCAGAAGTAACACTTGAGTTTTGCTTCTGATGACTCCCCACATTTTACAACATAAGTGTACTGATTATATCTAACACATCTAGTAAGTTGATTATGCATAATATATCCACTGACTTTACAATGCCAGTGAGGGCAGGAACTAGGTCTTCCTTCATCTGCATTAATATCTTAACTGTGCTCTGTCTGGTCCAATCAGCTGGAATATGTGGCTCTACCGTGTCTCAGCCTTATAGGAAAAGCCTGTGAATCTGGTTACAAGGACAATATGGATTTCAACTCTCTTAAGGCCACAGTTGAAGAGGATGCATGTTTCCTACTACCTGACTAATACAGGGAATAGTGGCCATATGGGATGTGCACATCAAAAATATTTTGTTCGATTTATGGAAATACCCATCTGCAATACTGCACTGTGATGTGCAGTATACCTGATGTTGTCATATGTCATTTGGCTGCCAAGGATACTCATTATCTTTGTGAAAATGATGAATAACCTTTACCTCCTCAGGAAATTACTCAAAATGAAAGCCAAACAAAGATGTGCTGAACCTGAAGAGATCCATTCTAGCTGAAGCAGGCACAAAATGGGATGTATTCTTTTCATAGCCCAGGATTTCTGGGTAACCATTTTGGTGTTTATGGCCAGGCAGACATCAGTAAATCTTTGTGGCATCACTTCACCCAGACAGAAGCCTGTGCACAACAGTTGTCCACACAAAAATCTTTTTCCCTGCTCTCTTACCACTCCCCACACCCAAGTCTAAACAAATAGGGAGGCCATATGCATATAGGATTTTGGGATGCAGATGTCTATCAGTGTCCTAGTCAAACCTGCCAGACCTTTTAATTTGTGACCCAGTTCTCTCAGCTTTGTAACAACCCCCAGTTTGTATATTAACCCCCCTTTGCAACATTTGGTGTCTGCACTAAGATATCAGACAAACCATTCCTCTTTTAACTGACGGCTTTTCCACACCTCAGAGCACATTTCTTACTTGTAACAGGTAAAAAGCTCTAGGAAGAGTTCAATATTATAACTCTGCTCTCATGAGACCTCACCTGGAGTACTGCACACAGTTCTGGTGTTCCGAACATAAGAAGGACATGGAACTGTTGGAGCAAGTCCAGACGAGGACCATGAAGTTGATAAGAGGAGTGAAGCACTTCTGCTACAAAGACAGGCTGAAAATGTTGGGGTTATTCAGCCTGGAGAAGGTTGTGTGGAGAGCGGAGACTCCATAGCAACCTTCCAATACCTGAAGAGGGCCTACAGGGGAAGCTGGAGAGGGACTCTTCATCTGGAAGTGATGTAGTGATAGGACAAGGTGTATCAGTTACAAACTGAAAGAAGGGAAAGTTAGGTTAGATATTACGAAAAAAATGTTTTACTGTGAGGGTGGTGAGGTACCGGAACAGGTTGCCCAGGGAGGTTGTGGATGCCCCAACACTGACAGTGTTCAAAGCCAGGTTGGATAAAGCCTTGAGCAACCTACTCTGTGGGAGCAACCTAGTCTGTGGGAGGTGTCCCCGCACACGGCAGGGAGGGCTGGGATGGGTGACCTTTAAGGTCCATTCCAAACCTTAACGTTCTGTGAGTCTATTAACATACCCAGCAACGTTACAGATCAAACTCACTAGGCAAAGAAAACGCTGGCCTTCATTTATGAAACTAATCAGGTTGTTGTTTTTTGGTTTTTTTTTCTCTCCCCTAACCTTAAATACCGCCCACGTTCTGGGAACCACCACGGTACCCGCCCGCCCTTGGGCCCCGCCTCCGAGGCCGCCTCAGGCCGGGAACGACCCTGGGGAGGGGCACCGCCTGCCCAAGGGTTTGGCATAATCCCTGCTCGGGGGTTGGGGGCTGGGGCGATCCCGGGGCAGCATGCCCCCGGGATCGCCCCAGCCCCCAAGCCCCGAGCAGGATCGCTCCGCCCTCTCCCCGCCCCGTGTGCGGCGGGGCCGGGCCGGGCCAGGGGCGGTGCAGAGGGCGGAGCAGAGGGCCCCGCCATGTCCAAGCACGTGTTTCTGACGGGACCCCCAGGTAATGGGGCGGGAGGAACCCGGGTAGCGGGGTGCGGCGGGAGGCGGCGCGCCCGCAGGGGCTGTTCTGGGGCACGGCACGGCCTGGCCTGGCCTGGCCTGGCTTAGCTTGGTTCAGCTTGGCCGGGCCCGGCCCTGCACGGTGCTGCGGGGCACTTGGAGCCGGGTCAAGGGACCTGCTGCCGGGCCCCGCCGCCGGCCCCCGGTCCCAGGGGGTGCCCCGGGAGCGCCTCCAGCTACAGCGGGGCTCGGCAGCTGCCCCCAGGCACCTCCCGGCTGAGCTGCCCCGTCCCGCCCATGCTGGGGGTCAGAGCTCTTCTTAATGCACTAATTAGTTTGTTCCTAATGAAGGGCCGTGTTGTCTCTCCATCCAGTCCCTTATGTCGTGTTACTTCTCCTGGCTCCAGCCCTGCAGTTCAGGGTTGGGGGAAAAAAAAAGCCCACCTCCCGGACAGCTAATCCCGTTTCAGTGTAAACTGCATCCATTAATAATTTCTGAGAGCTCACGTTTTCTGTGACTTAGTTGTCGTGATACAGCACTTCCAGCCTAAGTGATGTGCAGATATAGGTAATAATTGATATCCCAGATGGGCAGACTTTGACTGAAGCACTGGAGTAGTTCATCATGGTAAGGGAATCAGATTATTGTGGAGGCAGAGTGGGATTATAGTATGAGGGTTAAACTATATGATTGATAAAGAAATTAACCAGTTGTTATGATTGCAAACACTTATTTTGTGGTGTGGGAGTAAAGCAGTGTGCCTAATTCTCCTTTTTGTGAACCTCTTGCAGATGCCTGTCTTGCCTGCAATTAATTTAAAGTGCTGCTGCTAGGCTGAGATAGGAGTACATTCTACCCCCTTCATTCTGTCTTTCCATCCACTTGAATAAAGGCAGCCCTCTGGGAGACTCAGAGGTTAGGCCTGCTTAGGCCTTGTCTGTCCTGTTTATCTGAAATTGAATGTACTGTTTTGATTAGCTAAATGTATAACTTCCAGCTTTCTTAAACTTAGTTTGAATCGCTCTAGCTTTCTTTGGCAATTTACTGAATGACGGTAACCAAATTAGGGATAGCAAATCCACTTAGCCAAATTAGTATAAATTCACTTATAGAGACAAGGCCTTGTAAAGATGTTAGATACAGAGGGTGCCACATTTGTTATTTTATTGTTGTTCACCTGCCAAAAAGCCCTTTTCTTTAATTTTGAAAAGTTTGCTGAAGACTTTGACTGGATACCCTTGAACTCACAGTGTATTTTGTCATTGATACTGACTGTTAGGAAAGTAGTTCCTAAATCTGCTTAAAATCTAAAGAAGAAATTTGGTGTGTGCATGTTGAAATGATTTCTGCTGGCATCTTTAGGCGTCTCACATTTGGTCTGTGTTCCTCGTCTCCGGGAATTAATTCTGCAGGATTGTCTTCTACTGATTTTTTTAGAGCAACTATTAAAATTAAAGTGATAACACTAAATTTTGTGAGAGGTGATAAAGATGAGTTTAGAAGGAGATTGTCAAGGGATGGAAAGGAGAAGAAATAGCTCACTTGTGGGACATAAAAGGATGCTTGGAACATGACCAATGTTTACTGTGCAAGGAGACATCAGGTGGTGAGGATTTTAAGGACCTGTCTTAGGGTAAGAAAATGGATTAAAGGGTCACAGGATAATTCATGTAAGAAGGAACTTCAAGAGGCATAAAAGAGGGTCAGCTGTTAGGCCAGACCAGGTTGCTCAAGGCCGTATCTAGTCACATCTTGAAAACCTCAAAGAATGTGAAGGCTACTGCTGTTAATACTAGGAGTGTGTTTGCTCAGACACTCCCCTCGAAGAAGGATGCAGCCACCCAGGTCTCTGGGTGTGCTGAGTGTCTGAGCCTGACGTTGGTACCGGAGGACGGTGTAGGAGGTAGCTGTGTACGATGCGAGCAGGTGAGTGATTTGCTGTGCCTTGTAGCAGAACTTAAGGAAGAGGTAGAGAGATTAAGGTGCATTAGGGAGAGTGAAAAAGAAATTGACTGGTGGAGTCAAACCCTTTTAAACCCTAAGGAAGTCCAACAGGAGACGGCGAAGCCCTGCCTCTCCTGCCATAAGACAGATGGAGCAGACCAAATTGATGGGGGGGAATGGAAACAGGTCCCTAATAGGAGAGGTAGAAGAATTCTTTCTAGACCCCCATCACCCCTCAGGGTGCCCTTGAAGAATAGATACGAGACTCTGGACCCAGACAGTCAGGTAGAGGACAGCCAAGATGATCCCTCTAGAGAGCCTCCTTGTTTGGCCCCGTCCAAAAGACGGATTACAACCACAGGTATAAAAAAAAAAAAAGAAGGGTAGTTGTAGTCGGTGACTCCCTTTTGAGGGGAACTGAGGGCCCTATATGTCGCCCAGACCCATCCCAGAGAGAAGTATGCTGCCTTCCTGGGGCCAGGGTGAGGGATATTAGTAGGAGACTTCCTGAGTTAATTCAGCCCTCAGACTATTATCCTCTGGTGGTAGTCCAGGCTGGCAGTGAGGACATTAATCAAAGAAGTGCCAAGATAATTAAAAAAGACTTTAAAGCACTGGGTCAGTCAGTTCAGGGGACAGGAGCACAGGTGATATTTGCCTCAGTTCCTGTACTATCTGGGATGGATGAGGAGTTAAATAAAGAGAGGAGTAAAAAGCCCAACTCCTCAACAGATGGCTAAAGAATTGGTGCCACCATCAAAATTTTGGTTTCTTTGACCATGGGGCAAACTCCATGGTACCTAGTTTCTTAAAATCAGATGGGATTCATCTTTCTAGGAAGAATAAGAGGACTGTAGCCCATAAGTTAGCGAGGCTGATTAGGAGGGCTTTAAACTAGGTTTGAAGGGGGAAGGGGTTGAAACCGGGCTCTCCAGTGATCAGCCTAAGGATGGAAAGCCTGAGTTAAGAATTAAATCAACAGCCCACCTGAAGTGCATGTACACTAATGCACGCAGTATGGGCAACAAACAAGAGGAGCTGGAGGCAATTGTGCAGCAGGAAGGCTATGATGTAGTCGCCATCACAGAAACATGGTGGGATGACTCGCATGTCTGGAGTGCTGCTATGGAAGGCTATAAGCTCTTCAGAAAGAACAGGCAGAGACCTGGGGGTGCTGATTGACAGGAAGCTGAACATGAGCCAGCAGTGTGCCCAGGTGGCCAAGAAGGCCAATGGCATCCTGGCCTGCATCAAGAACAGTGTGGCCAGCAGGAGCAGGGAAGTGATCCTTCCCCTGTACTCTGCGTTGGTGAGGCCGCACCTTGAGTATTGTGTTCAGCTCTGGGCCCCTCAGTTCAGGAGGGATATTGAGGTGCTGGAGCGGGTCCAGAGAAGAGCAACCAGGCTGGTGAAGGGACTTGAGCACAAGTCCTATGAGGAGAGGCTGAGGGAGCTGGGATTGTTTAGTCTAGAGAAGAGAAGGCTTAGAGGTGACCTCATCACTCTCTTCAACTACCTGAAGGGAAGTTATAGCCAGGTGGGGGTTGGTCTCTTCTCCCAGGCAACCAACAACAGGACAAGGGGACATGGGCTCAAGCTCTGCCAGGGGAAGTTTAGGTTAGATGTTAGGAAGAAATTCTTTACAGAGAGGGTGATCAGGCATTGGAACGGCCTGCCCGCAGAGGTGGTGGATTCACCATCCCTGGAGGTTTTTAAGAAGAGATTGGACGTGGCCCTTGGTGCCATGATATAGTAATTAGAGTTGGATCAGGGGTTGGACTTGATGATCTTGGAGGTCTTTTCCAACCCAATCTATTCTATGATTCTATGATTCTATGATTCTACATGGCCTCTTCGGGCAACCTCTTTCAGGCTCCATTGGCCTCACAATAAAAAAGGTTTTCCCTGTGTCTAGTCAAAATGTCTCTTGATTCAGTTACCAGAAGAAGCATTTTTCTGTTGTTGGGAATACCTTTTGCCATATGGGACCTGGTATCTCAGGGCCATTGAGTGCTTCTGATTTCTAGGACATCAGTGAAAGTAGTGTGTTTTTTGTGCCAGTTAATAGCTTCTGTTAATAGAAGTCAGCTTTGACCTTTTGATCTAAAAAGGGGGTAAACTCAGCTCTGTTCTTAAAAAGTAGTGAATATGAGTGGAGAAAGGGAGATTCATCAGTCAGTCTTCCAGCAAACTTGGATATCAGTTGTGTAACTGTGTGGCTCTCATGTATTTACCTGTCTTGGGGTAAGTTTTGTGGCCTGCCTGTGCGCTATCTAAGCTACTAAGTTCAGTGGTAGCCTGGGATATTTTTACCATTCTGTTGTGAACTTCTTAAATGCTAATAAAACTTTACAGTTTTACAGGATAAACTTTAAAAGGTGCTCCTGTTCTTTCCTACAATTTAAAAAAAATAATTTGCAAACTTCAAAAGTAATCAATGTTCCTGCTGAACTGAATCATTACTGTGGTGTTTAAAAATAGGCTTTTAGTGCAGAAGAAGATTAACGGTCTGTGCTTTTTTTCTTCTTTATTTTTTAGGGGTTGGAAAGACTACTTTGATTCAGAAAGTCACCCAAGCTCTAAAATCCTCAGGCGTTCCCATTGATGGATTTTACACAGAGGAAGTTAGAGAAGGTGGCAGGAGAACAGGATTTGATGTTGTCACTTTGTCTGGAAACCGAGGACCTTTATCAAGAGTCAGGTACTGAGGTTTTAATAACTGTAAGCAGCTTATTGTTTTATGTGTCTGCTCCATCCATCGGCATGTTAAATGCTCTTCCAGAAGGTGATTTCCAGTACACATATGGCTTTCATGGTCTGGTTCATTGTTTAGTTCTTGTGTCTTGGCTGATACCTATATTGTATATGTAGGCAGCGTTTCTGTTGCATACTGAAATACTGAAAATGTGCTGGGGGGGTGTTCTCTCTTACTGCTGATTGTATGCCAGATAAAGAGTAAGTACCGACAAGCCTTTTATTATGAGGCCAAGTCTCTTTGGAATACAGTAAGTAGCTTATTGTGGGCAAGGAGGAAGGTTTTTGTGTTTCCACTGGCCAATTTTTGGAGACAGAAGTAGAAAATAAAAAGGGAAATTGCCTATAACATTGTCTTAAAAAACCATTGACTGGCCCTCAAAACTCACATGTGAATTTTAAGAAAAAGAGGGTTTCAGAGCCACATTTAAGAGAGGGGCCTCTGAAGTGCAGAGGAGCTCCCAGTCTTTCCTGATTCTCTAACCTTAGATTTTCCCACTTTGTGCAAAACTTAGTCTAGGTCTGGGTGTGACCTTAGCACCTCATTCAGACAGAGTTGATCTGACTAAATAATTTACATTCTGCTAATAACAGAGTTTCACTTAGGATAGTGTGGTGCACCACATGCAAACTGAGAATTTTTTTGAGATTGTTTAAGGGTTTTGCAGCCTGTACTGAGATTTGGGCTACTGCTGTGATGCTGGCTGTAGTCTCACATTACCAAATTCAAAGATCTGAACTGCAGATGTGAGTTTTGATTTCAGTGTAAATATACCTGCTGACTTTTATATGCCATTGTCCTTCCATACACTGTTCAAACTTGAGCTTGCATAGTTATGAAGGTAGCTTATGGTATAAATATTACCTGAAAGCAAGCTATCTGCAATATGACTTAATGCATGGTTTGCAGAGTTTATTTCCCTTCATTTCTTAGAAGAATTGAGGGCATTTGATTTACTTGGATAAATTCCCATAAATCCACTTGAAATGACTGCAGTGCATTGTCACTGAACTCAGTAATGAGAAGGAATTTTGTGTCTCTTTTTCAACTTCAGTTCTAATTCTACTTCAAGATGTGAATACCGGGTTGGACAATATGCCGTAGACCTTGTTTCCTTTGAGCAGTTGGTTCTACCTATGCTAAGAAATGTGAGTATTCTATGAAAGCTGCTGAAAAATGCATGTTTTATGATGATCAGGGTTACTGGAAGGCCCTTCTACAGCACTAGTTTTTGATAAGAAGTGGCCTGTTTCTTGGGTTTTGCTGATTATGATTGACTTTGGGATGAGGAAGCTGGAGGGGCAAATCTGGCTTGTTCTCTTGTCATTACTGTGGTTTTGCAGAGATTGCAGTCTCTTCTTTTTCTTGATCTGATGTCATCCTGTGAGCAGGGCCCTCCTTGGCCCAAAGAGGCAGCTGGTAGAAAGTTTTGTCCTATGCCACCATCTCACATATCGGAAAGCAAACAAAATGTACGAGTGGCTTAACATGGAGAACTGAGTCAATGGGTCCAAGAAAAAGGCTTTTGCTGCTGTTCTTCTTTAGAGCCTTTTTTTCCACTTCCTCTGATTCCCATCTTCTTCCAGTAGAAGCATTTGTGTCTTTAATCGAGTGGGTATAAGTACCTGCAGACTTATAATAAGCAGCCTCATTATTTGGGATTTAGCTTGCTGCATGAGGAGTACTCTGACTGTGACAAGACTTTCCACACAGTCTTTTTCCTATCCTTCTGCTGATACTCTGTTACTGCCTTTTTCCTTCTCTTTGCTCTCTCACGCCAACCTTTCGCCTCTCCAAAATTAAACAAGAACAGATCTTGTTTTGGCAATAACATCACAAACAGTGTGCAGCAGCTGCTGAACTGTACTACTGAAAAAATCCTATTGTGATTTTTCTACACTGCCAAAGCTCAAGGGGACAGGGAAGAAGGGACTTTTTTGATGAACTTAAAACAAAAAAACACAGAGGTGCAAGGAGCAAAAATAAGATTGAGGATCCAGTTCTTGGTTTTGTCAAGGAATATTAAAGTCTGACAGTAGGTAAACAAAGATGTTGGTACAAGGGACAAAGGAAATATTAATAAAATGGAACGATTTTTATATGTTTAATTTCACTGCAACTGTATTTAGGATGTTAGTAAGTACAAAGATAGTTTAACAGAAATACTTCATTTAACCAGTGCTGCATTTGGAATCCTTTCACTACTGAATTAATGTGAAATCCAGGAGAGATCTTCCTAGAAAATTGTTAGCAGTGTTGAATTTTTCAGTTTCTTATATAGCTTACTGCAAGTGCAAGAAGGTGAAGGGAAGAACTGGGGCCAGCAGTTACACAGTGCATGATCACTGAAAGCGCTGTTTGTCAGTTTTGTGGGAGTGTGGTCATGCATGTAGGTGGCCCAAAGTGGAAGAGGAGAGTGAGGAAGATCACAGAATTGAAACAAGAAGAGACAAATGAAGAGTGAGGTCAGGAGAATCATAGGTATGGTCTGGTTTGATCAGAGAGCAGCATGAAATGGGCACGTGGCCGTTTATTCCTGAGGGCAGCTCTTAAGGCTTTATTTGCTCCGGTGAGAATGGGGTAGATCCTGCAATGGAAGATCCCTCTGGTTCTGCAAACTTTACCAGGCAGGACTGGTAAAGTTTTTTCAGTTTTTTTCAGAGCAAAATGCTGTGTTTCTCAGTGTGTGACCTAGTGTCTGGTATTGGCTTTTTGGCTCGCTGATCTATGAAAGGATTTTAGATAAGACAGCTACTCAGTAGGGACTCAGCTTGAAAAGATTTATACATTTTGTACAGTTCTTTCACTTTCCCAGAAGCAAATACTTTGGCTTCACAAGGGAGAATGCTTCTATTTTTTTTTTTTAGGTTCTGTGTAATATGGCTTGTTTTGGTACATATTTACAGATCTGTAGTGATGTTTTGAATTCAGTTTATTTCCTCCTCACTTCTGTAAATAATGGAGAACACTTCTCAGTTGCTTTTACCAAAATAGGGTAGGCATTGCACTTCTTTTTCTGTTGAAGAGTTCCTCAATTTTAGGAGCTGCTTTTTCCTCAGTAGCAGTTACCCATCTTTTTTTTGCAGACTTCACTGATGCTTACACCAGCCTGCAGCACAGTACCTTTTGGAACACTATTCACTTCATGAAAAAAGCAAACAAACCACAAATGTGGTTAATCGTTAGTAGGATACCTCTCCTACAATCCAGGAAGGTGGCTAGGATTATAGAATAAGGTATATCTCAACAAAGAATTGGAAGATTACTCTTCTGATTTGAGAAGGGCTTGCAATGGCTTGGTTGTTATCCAGGTAGCTTTGAAGAAAGCCGGTTGTTCTGAGAGAAGTGCTCCTCCTTCAACCCAACTGAAAGAGAAGGAACTGCCAAATCTAGAGTCAGTGGAAATATATTTTTTTAAACACTTGCTATGTGTGACTGTTGATCTATTCTAAATGTATAATTTGATGGGAAGAATACAGTTCTTGAAAGCTGGTGACCCTCAGAATGATTGAGAGCTGCTAGTAGGCAAAGTACAGTTCTTAATTGTCAAGTAGCTCATATAGGAACATTGTGAGAATTCTGCTTTGAAGGAAATCTGATATTATGGAAATTTCCTATTGTAGTTGGTATTTATAATGTACATATATTTTTATCCTTCAAAAAATCTGTCCTGAAATAAAAATGGTAGATTTCCAAGTCTGTCATTTGCCAGCAGTAGCTTTGACTCTTCCACTTTCCCCAGTATTACAGTTTAATTTATTTATTTAGGAGGTATTTCTTTTATCAGCGTAGCAATTATTTCTATTGCTTGTTCTGAGTTCTGTGTTGTTTACAGTCTCCTGATGCATTTTTCCACAGGTAAACCATGGTGGTGATACAGAGAAAAGAATTTGTGTCATTGATGAGATTGGTAAAATGGAACTCTTTAGCCAGGCTTTTATTCAAGCTGTTCGTCAAACGCTGACTGGCTCAGGGACTGTGGTGCTTGGAACTATTCCAATACCTAAGGGAAAGCCACTGGATCTTGTTGAAGAAATAAGAAGTAGGAAAGATGTTAAAGTGTTCAATGTGAGTAATATTTAATATTCTTAAAGAGCCTTCTGTTCTAGGTTACTGTTTTGTATTTGGCTCTGTTTAAAAGCTGTTGCTACCAATTGATAGCTGTGGGTAGCTTGTATGAAATAAGCTTTTAAGTTTCCATTTTATTCTTAATGGGCAGGTGCTCACGTTATTAAAAAAAATCCCATTTGGCACTTGATGTAGCAGGCTCACACAGCTGGCTTTGCTTGTGAGGGGCTGCAGAAGTAATGATATAGTTGTTTTAAAAGGTTTTCTTGCTGTAGTATTATTGCTGCATAAGTATTCATTATTCCTCAGAGTTAAATCTTTTAAAGTACAGTCAGATTTTTAAGCTTTTTTTTTTTTAACCATACTGGTTTGCAGAAGTATTACCAGTAATCATATTCAAGGAAAAAAAAATAAAAAAAGGCAGCAGTGGAGTTTGCAGAAATGATTTATAGAAGAAAGACCACAATAAAACGTAGTCTGTTCATAAGAATACATGCATGAGGTTTCCTTAACATCTGTAAGTGTACTGGATACTTCACAAAACCAAGCTAAATGATCCTCCACTCCTTTGATCTATGTTTCCTCTTCAAAGTTAGGTTAAAAAACCTGCAGTACTCAGAAAGGTTCCTCAGCTTTCTTCTAGTTGGGGATCCCATCATCGTCTGTAGTTTCTGTTTTTATATTAAATGCTGGTTTAATTAAGTGCTAAAGCAATTGTAGGAGCAAAGACAGAATTCCTTTTCTTACATAAGCATTCAGCTCCTGCTGTTCCTTTCAAAGATGAAGCCCCAGGTTTTCCACTACCAACCTGATGAATGTTCCTTGTCAGGCTGTTGAACAGAGATGCATGTGAAGATGAGCTCAGCTGGTTAAAGCACAGCACTAGTTAATGCCAGCGTTGTGGGTTTGATCCCCATAGGAGCCATTCACTTACCAGTTGGACTTGATGATCCTTGTGGATCCCTTGCAACTCGGGACATTCTGTGACATGAATATGAATTTTGTATGACTTGCTGTACAGTGGTAGGACTGGGGAAGAGGGAATGGAGAGGCCTTACTGGAAGCAACAATCACTCAAAGCTTAGGCTGCAGTCACAGCAGGAGAGTAGTGTATGCATACGTCCTCTTGGGAGGAAAAGGGGTGCTAGAAAATAGCATTTGGCTTTTCAAGGAAGCTTTTAAGGGTCCTGTTGTCTCTTTTTATCAGGTGGTGGTCTCAGGGCATGTGCTACTCAACACCGGGTTTTTAGCTGTGTCAATGTTCTGACGCATCCTTCTCCTAAGTGCTGACTGCAACCAGAAAATTTTCAACAGAGCAGTGTTTTCTCTAGCTAGAAAATCTTTACTACAAAAATGACCCATCCTGTTCATGCTGCTGAGATTAGGACATGCAGGTTTCTTTGATTAAATAGGGTTCTCTGGTGAACCCACTAGCCAAAAGCACGGATGGGAAATGTGTGACAGACTGCTGTCATTCCCCGGTGGCACAGACCTGCTATGCTGAAGTCTTGTGAAGGGGAGCATCTGTCTCTCTTGCTCCAGTGACACACTATGTGCTCTTTCCCAACTGGTTTGAACGTGTGCATGACCAGGAGCAGAACTGGCCTGTGGGGAGTCAGAAGTGTTAGTAGCTGAAGTGAATCTTGAATCACCAGCTCACATGTTCTTCCAGAACTGTGGCATGGGGAGAACCTGGAGTGTCCAAACAGCTCAGGGTCAGTAATTTCTTACTAACTTTTATGGTGCCTGGAAGTGTACAGAGGTAGGAGGCTACCTTCCAAAACCTGCTGGCTGCTTTATCACTTAAAATGGAGATAGGCTGCGTTCAAGTAACTCAGCAGAGTTTTTTCATCCTTCTCTTAGTGTCACAAGGACAGTTCTGATGTTTGGTGCCAAGAGCACAGAGACAGCTGTTTGGGGTTTTACAGTCCCTTCTGTCTTGAAAGCTTATTTTGTTGGTGTAAATGGGCCCAGATGCCCTAAAAGCAGTTGAGCATTTGTTCCCAAATGTTTAATTTATTATGTTTAGGGCACTTAACGATAGGAGCTCTGATATTTAACACATTTCTTTCTATTGTTGCCCAATTCCATTTTGATGAGTACTAAACTTTACAGTGAAACTAGAGAGGCTCTTTTTGCACTGCCTTTGTCTGTGTAGTTTTGCAGACATGCTGTCATGAACAGGATCAGGTTATCCTTAGCAGCTGGCAGATACTAATTTTCTCCCATTTTCCCCATCTATTAATTTTGCTTCCGTGAAACCCATTAGTGAAGTTTGGTTGCATATGCCTATTAAGAAAGAAAGTAGCTGAATGGATGAGACGAAAAGGTTCCATTTGAACAGATTGTAGATGAGCAGTTTCCTTCACAGTACTTTTAACAAGGGAAGAAAGCTTTTGTCCTCTGCGGTTGCCTGCTTGGAGTCTAGGTGGTAATTTCCTCCACATTACCTAAATGCTTAGTATAAGCAGCATCTACAGTTATTTTCAACTCCCTGTCTAAAATTGTACCCATCTGTTTGTACATTCAGTACAGATACTGGGAGATTTGTTCTTTCTGGGAAAGCTGCCTGCACAGAATGTCTCCAGATCTTAAGAGGAGACTTATATCTATAAAGCGTTTGTAAAACAGTTGTGAAAATTTCCCAGTGCTTGGCACTTTCTCTCTGCTGCTCTCACTGGACTTCTGGCATGTAGGTATGGAAAAGGGATAGATAAAATGTAGTATTGTTTTTGTTGGCTGTGAGAGAGTGGGAAGAGCTATTAAATGTGCAGAAGGTCCTTTGAAAGTCAGGGTATCAGTACACTTGCTGTGAGATTTAGAGTTTGGCTCATATGTGCTGTTTATTGTTTACCTTGGGGTCTCTCAATAGCCTTACTGAAGAGCATTCTTTGTTGTCTTACTCTCTTTGTTATTGTGAGGTTTTCTGTTTATCTTAGAACAGGCTTGGAATGATTCTCAGTAAAACCAGTGACATTTTCAGGCAGATCTTCCCTTTCATTACTTCCCCCCTCTTTTTTTTTTTTTTTTATGTCACTTGTTCATTAGTCCCATGTTGATCTGCTGTCTTGAATTCAGGTGGGGTAGGTGAGACCATTATCTGTAGCTTTTACAGACAACACAGCTTTTACTGTGTTGGTTTCCAGCATTTGGATAGGATGTCCTTGACTGTAAATAGTGGTAGGCTCCTGGGGTCAAATTCTTGAGGAGGGATTGTCACCTATTGAATAGTAACAGTATTTCCTCCTGTTCATTATTGACTGTAGTACTAGGAGGGATACGAACTCTTGTGCTCAGATCTTAAATGTCAGATAACAGGGAGTGCAGTGAAAACCTTGCTGGTAGACAGTGTTGTGTCTCTCCTTCCTTGTTGAACAGCTTTTCTCCAACTTTATAGGAGGAATGCCCTTACTTTTTTTTTTTTTGGCTCATCTGTCTTTGTCTGATTTCTTCCTGCACTCTCTGCAGGGGTCTGAACATTGGGGAAAATTTCTTAGACTTTTTAAAATAAGGCTTCTGCTGACCCTTTGCAATTGCTTCTTAACCCTTTGCCACGCCAGTCATCTCCCCAGGTTTTGTTTGAGGTAGTAATGCATGGCACTGTGGGTCACTGGACTCTGGATCAGGACCTGGTCTGTCAAGAAGGGCTAATTTACACACACAGAGGCCCCCCAGCTCTGTACCCCCGGGAGCTGAGCTCACTGGCAAGCACAAGCGTTTGGTTGGCGGTTTACAGTGATCTGTGTGTGCTGGAATGCACATGGGCCCAGCAAAAGACAGGACAGTGGACTACATGGATTTTCACATATGCTGGTCTTAAAGCCCAGCATTTCATGGACTGGTCAACCAAAGCTGTCTCTCAGCATGCTACAGAAGACCTCAGCTTTCTCAAGTACTCTTATTTCTTTTTGAAGGTGTTTCTATCCTGCAGTACTAAGGTTTCTCAGAGTGCAGAGGTGTGCTTCTAAGCCTGGTTTTTTTTTTTTTCTTTGCAGATGTTTTTGACTAGGTCTGTCATCTTTAATAAATACAACCCCTTACAAGTAATGAAGGCATAAGAATACTTTATAGTGGGAAGGTTAAATTTGGTGGTTGAAAAGGATTTCTAGTAATGACAAAAGTACATGCTGGTTCTTTGAGTGATTCTCATTAGTTATTCAGGCCCTGAATAATACTGCAAAATGCCATGGGTAATTAAATCAAAAAGATCATTGAATATTCAATTATGTATGTTTGTGGGTTTAGCATATTGTGTTCTCAGTAGCAGAAGGAGGCAGGTGTTTGACACTCAAAATTCCTGCACTGAAAAAGAAACACATTTAAATTTCTGCTTTGATTGTTTTTGAAGTAAACACTGGTATAGAGGCTATTCATCAAATTACATCAGTTTTAATTTCTCTTTCTCTAGGTTAGTAAGGAAAACAGAAACAGCATTTTGCAAGACATCTTGGCAGCTGTGGAATCCTGCAGAAAATGAAGACCTTTTCTTTCCTGTAAACACTAAAGCTTTTGTTTCAACAAAACATTACAACATTTTGCGGATGTTTTAGAGTCTGTCTTTCCTGCTTTAGCCCCTGGAGGCCTTACTGGAGCCTTCAGGGTAAGCAAGGTAAAGCCGGTAATAATCTAAAATGTGAAAATGAGATAGCAGGATTTGTATTTATTCAGTTCACTGAATTAAAAAAATTGAACAGACATGTATCTAACATCCAATTCTAATCTGGGTGTTTGGAAGTTAGGTGGTCTAACTCTGATCCAAGTCACCCCACGTAAAAACAATTAACTGTAAAATCTGTTTGAGATCTTAGTCTTCCTCAGTGTGTTTGGACTGCTCTGCCTAGAGAGCAGTTCAGTATCTGGAACTTGGCCCTGGTGGAACAGAACAGAACCCTGTCCCAAATGTATGTGTGTTCTGCCTGAGCATTTCAGCATGGGTGCTGACACATCATGGGCTAGAAGGAATAAGCAGATGGTCTCTCTCCCTCTACTTCCAGACACCCCTCCCTGCAGCTGCAGTATAAGAAGGGTTAACTGAAGTTTCAAGAAAATTTCCTGTAGTCTCAAGTGACATTTACAGAATTCCACTTTGGGTGTAAAAATAATCAACTCTACCTTCTCCTACATGGCCCAGACAATAGTTGATAAGAGGGCTACATTTTATTTTCATTTTTCTGATGGTAATCCTGTCCCCTACCCTTAAAAATTATATTTATGAATCTTCAAGTCTGTGAAGTTGAGTAAAATATTGACGTGTTTTTCATGCAGGAAAGTCAGGATTGACTTACTACTGTATTTGTTTGTATTTGTTTTCCAATCTGTTACGTTTGTTGATACTTCTTACTTGTTTGAGTTTTTTTCCTTATTCAATTCTGTACATGCTTCATGGCAAAATAAGAATTGTTTGAGAGTATTAAACAATGTGTTACCCTATGAGGTGTGCAGATGTGTTCAGGAACCACTTATTCAGTTCTGCATGTTGTGCAAACAGAATTCCTCCCAGGTGCACACTGTTCATTGTACAATTTATAGTCATCTCTGGTTGTAGAAAGTTTTTAAGAATTCAGTTGTTGCTTAACTTTTCCCTGTTCAGTTTGATAACTTTTAAAATCAGCAAACTATTTAATGCCATTTTCAGATACAGTTTTATTTATTCATTTCTACAGGACTGACACCCACAGTTGTATGGGGCTGGATGGGGACAGGCATTTTTGCAGGTGTCCTGCAGACAGCTGGGAGCGTGGAAGGAATGTCCTTTCTCTTTCCTGTATTCAGAACAAGGGGGTCTGGTACAAACACTGCCCCTCCCCACATAGCAGTAGGTATATGCCATGATATAGGATGCCATGGCCTCATTCCCTTCTGCCCAAATCCGGTTGGATGGTAGTATCGTTTTCATCATGTTTGGGAAGAAGAAAATTCCTCTTAGCGTCCCACTCCTTTGAGAATGTACAGCTTCTGGCTCCTTTTTGCAAAATAAGGTTGTGCCCTGGAGATATCGCTAATCCTTTAGTTACTTCAGGCATCTTACTCAGACAAAACACCTTTTTATAGGTGAAGGACTTGGGACCAGTGTAAACCTTTTCAGGGCTGTATGCCATAGATTTTTGAGCAGAAATCTTAAGTATTGGATGTCCTCCTGTTTCAATGTCAAGTCTCTTAAGCTGTGAAATATGCTGCAAAAGAACAGTTCTTTCAATGATTAAATAAATACCCAAAGTCTGGCAAGGTTTTAGTGGGACTAATGTTGAGTCTTAAATGGGGATTGACCTTTAAAGCTAAATAAAGTGGAGAGATTTCACACTTCTCTGTTAGAGGCTGGGGAGGGAAGTTCCTTTAGGGATGATGGCAGAATTGAGTTTTCCAAATTCTGGTTCAGCCAGTCTTGTTGGAGATCACTTGAAGTGGTATTTGTTCCCCATAAAATTAGATATATTGCCTTGCATACAGTGCTATGGTGCCTACTGTAGTTTCATCATATAATAGAGTGGGAAAAAAACCCCAAACAATTATAACACCAGGTTTGGGAAACCTGACCAGTACTTTTAAGCCGTTGTCTCACAGTGCAAGGAAGACCTTTTGCAGTAAGGTAAGATTGGTCACTGGAAAAATGCAAGTGGATTTTTCCTTCACTGGAACTGTGAGTGAAGTATCAGCCTTTTTAAACCAAAGCACATGCTTGCTACTGACATCAGTGTCTCTTGTTTTCTGCTACCTATATCCAGATTGGTGTGAGTCTTTATTTCTCTTGGAAAGCACTCTAGTTCAGAGAGAAAATAGACTTTAAAAAAAAAAAAACCAACACCAAATTAAAGAGAAATTTTGTAGTCTCTGTTCAGCAGGAGATTTTAGATGACTTTAATAGTCATGTCTGGCCTTTAAATCTGAGGCACTCTTGAAGATATGATTTGCCTGTTTCAAATATACTTCGAGTGAGTGAGAAAGTACTACTTCCAACTGAAGGTAAATTTTTATGACAACCTGTGTTTACTTTAGAGGTAAAAATGCATTTTCTGGTCTTGCACTAGTAAAATATTTGGAAGGCCTTGAGAGCACTGTAACAGCAAACAGAGCATTCACAATTCCCCTGATGGGCTGATTTTACTAATAGCACACATTCAGTGAAAAGAACCTCTGATGTACCAGCTAGATTCCAGATGACAACATTAGTGCACCTGCAGGTTTTAATTGGTGCAGAAAAGGGGAGAGTGTGAGGTACCAATTACTTTCTCCAAGCCTGAGAATCAAGGATGTTTTTGGCAAGGAGGCTTGTAATTCCAGCACAAAATTGCACCCAGCATGGAATAAACAGGGCCTGCATTATTTATCATGCATTAGGCAATTTTTGACTTGTAAAACTTTGAGAAGCTGAGAGAGGGGAGTCTTTGACACTGGACCCACTGCAAAGTTAATTATAAGTGATATGTCTGTGTTGCAGATTTAAGGATGTACAAGAACAGTGAAACATGGTAATTAAATACCAGCTCCCAATTCTGGGAGTAATCTAAATATGGCAGTAATTGGGTAGTTGAAAAGAATGCATTGATGAGATGATGATTATTACATGCTGGAAAATCTCCCTGGTAATTTTAATCTTCTAAAATGAGCTGCACAAAATTCAGCTAATCTTTAACTTATATTCTCCAGCATGAGAAGACCCTGGTGGGCTGGAGACAAATGCAGATGACATTTCTTGCCTTATTCTAATAAACAGTTTTTATAAAAAGCTGTGAATGGCATCACAGAGAGTCTTAACTTAATAGTGTCAGAATGTCATTCATAGATATTGAGAGTATCTGGTCATCACGCCAAGGTGAAAAGACTCACACTGGTAAGTCCTTTTAGTTGAGATTTGCCTTAAATGCAGTGAATGCCAAGATTTTCTGCCTATGGGACTGAGGTGAGACTTTGCAATGAGAACGTCAGTTCCTGACAGAGAAGTTTTCATGACAAAATGGAGGGAACAGCCAGGACCTCTGGCTTTTATTTTTGGGTGAACAGGAATGAACTTGGTAGACTATGGCTATCACTGGTTCCTGCGTGCTTGCTGTGGTGGGGAACTGCCAGGCTGAAGGCCAGGCGGAGCTTTGGCAGTTTACCTGGTGGATGTGAACAGTTCAGCAGCCTGTGTTTGGCTTTGGTAAAAAGGTACTGAAAGTCTTCTTACCGGATCTTCAGGTTATGTTTCACCCTTAGGAGTGTAGCACCTGGCTTTTACTGTGGGATGTAAACAAGAGCCTGTTAGAGAACAGAAAGTTTAGAAAAAAAAAAAAATGGGAGGGAGGTAAGTATCCCATGTTTAGTGCAAGGGCTGAAGTACTGTGTTTGTGCTTGTTTTACCATTATTATCCTCCTTCCTGTAACCTGTTATATTGTCCGTGTTCCTCTCTGGTTGGGAGGGCCCTGCTAAGCCAGTGTGGATAAAATCACTCCCAGTGTTTCTATTCCACAATGGTGATGTTATCTGAGGTTAAGCTGGAGGGACTGGGCCAGGTACGGCTTCCATCTCTTCATCCCTTCTGACATTTCTATGAAAGAACTGCATGTACCAAATGCTCTTGTGGATTGAGTACTTGATGAAGGATGCATTCAGTTTGCTAAGGAGATGGGAATGTCACTGTTTTCACGTTGTAGAAGCAAGAATGTTCTGGGCTGGCTGAATGAACTAGGTGGCCTCTGCAGCTCTGAATAAATCAAGCATAGCACCTGACTCAAAAGACCCTGATGGAGCTCCTTAGGAAAGGTACTTACGTGTTGGGGGTTGCCCTCCTTCCTGCATCCCAGCTGTACTAAGAGATCAGGCAAACTGTTAAGCCTGGGCAACTTCAGGGCCAAAGGTTTAACAGTGTTTGGCATTGTGAAACCCATCAGCAGTGTCGCAGATAACATAAAAGCAGTGAAAGTTGGCTTTTCATTCAGAGGCCAAAACTTAACCAACAAGTAGGGTCCTGAGGTGTCCCAGGTGCCTCCATCTTGCAACTCTGAGGCACCTGGAGTGTGAGGTTAAGTATCGAGCTGCTTAGGTCTTTCAGGAATAAAGATATGACTCAAAACCTTAACGTATATGTAGGCGCTGGTGCTGAGAACAGCATTCCTATGGACTCAGTGCCTTTTGGTGCTATGCACAGCTGTTTGGAGCAGCTCACTGTTGAAATTAGGCCTTGTGTACAGGTCATGTTCCTATTTGTTAGCTTTGTGTGCAGAGTAACTGGGTGTATCTCTACCTCATGCAAAAATGGGGGAGGCCTAATATATGTTTAATCAATACAGCCCCATACCTAGTTGCAGGTTTTATTTGTAACCATCATAACTGATTATTCTGTAGGATTGGCTTATATTTAAAACCACTGCATATAGCAGTAGGCTTATTAATTTAACAGCAGACTGTCTCCAAAAAATAGGGAGAAATGCAGTGCGCTCATTTTAATTTTTTTTTTTCTGTCTTTGCTATGCTTGTTAGCAGTCACTCTTGGGTTTTTTCATCCCACTATGCTACAGTAACAACTTCGATGCAAAAATTAAAACTCTGTAGGACATGGCTACAAAAAGGGAACTAATTTTTGGATCTTGAGTCCTCCGTTGGCACTGCTTGCACGCTGTGCCTCAACAGACGAGTATGAACCTTCCTTTTCTGGCAGCCACTCTGTGCAGCTGGAGGCTGGACTTCATGGCACACTGCTGTCCCCAAGGAGCTATGCTCCAGGGGCTGGTGGCTTGAACTAAGTCAGGAACTGTGAGGTAGCAGCATTATTTTAGGATGCAGTACGAGGACCATGGAGACAGTAGTCTAGCAGAAGATGTGGTGCAGGGGGAAAGGTGGTGTCGCTGGGCCTCAGTCCATGCTAAGCATATAGTAGGCTTGCTATTGAAAAGTATTTCTGCACCCATTTCCTGATCTGGTTTAGTATGCTTGAGTTGGATACACAGAATAATTTCGGTTGATTGGGACGATTTTTGATGGGAATTAATTCAAACTTAACAATGTGAAAATTGGAGGCCTAAGTTAGGTTAAGTGAATATGGGAAAGTTCTTACTGCTTTCCACAGCCCCCTGTTTGCCCTGTCTCCATGCAGGAAGCCAAAGCTGTGATGGTTTGTCCTGTGAACTGCCATGCAAAAGCCCCCAAGGCAGAAACGGGGCTGGTGGCTGTTAGTAAGACCCTCCACCTACCTGCATAACCTCCAGCCTTCATTTGTAATGAAGCACTTAATGAACAGGGTGGTGGGACAAGAGTCATCATCTGCCAGAACTGGTCAGAAGGGAGCAGCTGAATTCAATTTCCTTTTCCACATCATATCTGGATGCTAGATGAGAAAGGAATAGGGCCTGAACTGCACTGATGACCAGAGGGCATGGATACTCTGCTTTTGCCCTTGTGGACATGGGCAGAATTTTTCATAGGTTGTGTTGAGCTTTATAAATAATCAATTCATCAAGATCTAAAGTGAAATAAAAACAATAGATTTCTTAATTTTGTAAGGCAGAAAGCAAGTGCAAACAATTTCAAATGGAAAAGACAACCCAAAAACTGCTGTCACACAAAACGTACTTGAATCATTTTATTTTCACTCGGTGTTACTTAGTTCTACTACTCAGATCTGAAGTGTGGCACAGTAGGAAGATCAGAATGCAACTGAGTATTGCCTAACAGTAATGATACTTAGCTACAGCATCTCTTGTTAAGTCTCTCTTGTTAATTGGGACAAGACAGCCTGGCTGCACGTCATCGTGTTGAGATTTAGAAACAATCTATGGTAGTTACAGTAAAGAGGAACAGCAAGACACTGATAGCTGCAATTCTTTTTTAATTAAAAAAAAAAAAAAAACACCACACCCATGTGTGTTTAGACTCTGTAGTAGAGGAAGGATTTGTTGTAGCCTTTTGCCTTCCAAAATACTCATGCATTCCTGTAAATCAGTGTTTCTCAAACCTTGTGAAAGCATGGCCTCCCTTTTTGCATTATCTATCTTTATGCCACTATTAAATTGGCAGCAGCTCAGCTTCTGTGGGGGAGGGAAATCGGAGGGTTCTGTAATTACTGGCTACAAGTGTTTATGGACACTGAGCTGTGTCCAGCAATTAAAGGCATTTAACTGTTCCCTTCCTAACACAAACACTTCCAGACAATAATTACAGCCTGCTTTGCACTTTCCTGTCCTCCTCAAGGATTCCCCTGGGCCCTTTTGCAACTCCTGAGGGTACCATTGCTTGGAATTTGAGAAACACTGCTGTAAATCAAACAGGAACACGAGATAATACCTAATTTATGCAAAGCTGCTTTGCAAATAAGGTGCACCATATGCTTTGAAGACTTTCCATGCACTGGATACTTTCTTTTCTTAACACTTGACTTTTGTTAATCTGTGTAGCATGGCTCGTTCACACTATTTCAGGATGGCTGCATGCAGTATATACGTCTGTGATGCTATGTTGCTCTTCAGCATTAGAACCTGCATAACAGGTTAAAGAAAAATAAGAGGCTTGCTGTTGGAAAAAAAAAAAATCAGATTTAGCTCTAATGTTACAGCACGTTGTACTGTCCTTTTCTGTATTCATTGCTTCTGTTCATAGTTGCCTTTTGCTATATGTTATATATCAAATTTCAGTTAGTTTGCATGCAATCAGCTGTTTAGTTATGGCAGGAAAGAGATGTCTTGTGTGCTTTTCACTGAGTTGTATTAATATTTCCTACTGTATTCATTTGTGATTCTAACCGTTCCAGGGGAAGGAACGTTAAACAGGTTGTATTCATTGTTCTAGGATTTACAAGAACCTGAGATGAAGTGGCACTGTGTGTTTTTTAGGATATCTTCCAACCCTACCCATGCGAAGGCCATTAGCTGAAGAGCATCTGCCCTGTAGTATTCTCGTGTAGAAGTTAGAAAAATAAACATTTGAAGGTTGCTTATTACATTTGAAAGAACCTAAACCCATGTGCAGCTTCCTGACCTAACTCTGTCCTTATTTAATCCTAAGAAGCGCGTGGCCCTTGTGCTGGGAATGCTCCCTACTGCTCCTCAGACAGGCTTTGCTGAGAAGCAGTGTCTTCCAGGGCCATATCTTCTTGGCTGGCCCTTCTGCACTCCAGGTTCCGGCTCATGAATACGGCATGGACCGGACCTGCCTCTCGCTGGGGTCTGGGTTCTGCAGCATCAGTTGCTTCACAGGTCTCAGCGTGTTGCTAGGAAGAAAGAAAGAAAAAGTCAACTAGTTTAGGAAATTTCTAAGTAACACTTCAGCTATTTTTTGAAATGACAGGTGAAAAAAAAAAAAGTTAAAAATTGATGTAGGAATGTCATTCTGTGAAACTCCATGGGATTCTTAACATGCATTATTCACAAGGGACTTCTGAAGAGGTAGTTGTCACACTTTGTGTAACGCATAAATTTGGAAAGGAAAGCAGACCAGGAGCTAGAGGTTTAGTACCACAGATGTACGTGTATAGAGAGCTGTAAAATAATTTGGATTGAAAAGGACTTCTGGAGGTCATCCAGTCCAAACTGCTGCTCCAAGCAGGGCTGACTTCTAAGTTGTTAAATTGGGTTGCTCTGGGGCTTGCTTTATACACCAGATTTTAAATCCAACTTACAAAGAAAGCTTTTCATCAAAACTGGAATGCAATTATCAGTCTGAAAACGTTAAGCACAGTGCCACCCCACTGTAAGGAGTCCATTGGTATAAGAGCATTCCAGAACTGTGCTGTGCTAACATTTAAATAAACCACTTTCTCTTTATTGCTTTGAATCAAACAGGCACCTGGACTCTGAGCAGTTACTCTGTCCAGGATTCACCTCATCTAAATTTAGCCATGTAATTTTAGTGTGTCATTTAGGCTGCCAGCGGTTGGCAGAGAGATATGATTCTCCCAGGGGAAAATTTGTTCCTAATAGCTCTAAGGATGAAGTGGATTGGCCTCTTCATTGAAGCCTCAACAACAATAATCTACTGAGACTTTATTCTCAAATTTTAGATGGCTTAAAGTAAGATAAGGTGAATCCTACAGTTAGTACTCAGTACTGCAGAATTGGCTGAGTTCTTGCAAATTAGGCCATAAACTCTTGAGAGACGCAATTATGCCTTGTCATTTGATATGTTCAGCTGTATGTGTAGAAATACTTTTAATGGTTATTACAGTAACAAAGCAGGATTGGACCCAGATGAGTAATGTTTAGTCACCTCCTGCAGAAGTTCATGGCAAAACTCTAGGGAATTGTACCATACATGGTGGTATTTTTGGGTTGAGAGCAAAGTACACACAGGCTAAGGAGGTTTTTTCACTTGAGGTTTGGAGAATTATTTGGAAACTAGGGAAGTTATACACAGTTCAGAATGATAGAACAGTAACAGAAAAGTGAGTTGGACTTTGATATCCAGTCTTCCCCTGTTACCAGTTTGGTTTTCATTTTGATAGGCCAAATGTGAGTGTCTAATTGTGTTGTCACAGTCACCCTTCATTCTCTAGCCCATCTTCTCACATTTCTGCTCTCTGGTGCTGAGGTCAAATTTTCAAAGTTCAGGACATCAGCTGATGTCAGCCAAAGTTAAATGAATATACTTATGTAGACAGTAAAAGGATAATACTACTATGTGCATTGAATTTTCCAGGGAAGATGGGAATCGAACTGGGAGCCTACTGGGAAAAAGTCTGAAAGTTCTTTGTGTGTACTGTTTAATCACAGGGCATGCAGGTTTCCTTTGGTAAATAGTTCCTACAAAATTCCTTTCAGCAACAAGATTTCAAGTCTTGGACTGAATTTCTGGTCAGAGAAGGGGATGAGAACAAGTGTCCTGTTCAGGGGGACCATTCCTCTTCCTACAAATAAATTTAATTCCTGTATAAGCAGGCAAGAAAGGAGGTATTCAGTTTGCTTATGATGGTACTCAACACCTGGGCTGTAGAACATGGAGATTTAAGTCCCTGGTTTGAGTGAAAGAAAGGGACTTTTTTTTCCACTCACTTTTGAGTGAAAGAAAGGGACCTAGTTTGCAGTTTCAGGTGTGTAACAGCCAACCTGTAAGTTACAAAATACGCTCACTTTCATATACACACTAATATTAAACAATCTCTGTTTTCATTGTGATGCAGCAAAATCCCAAACAAATACCAAAATCCTGACATTGTTCTGGAAAAAAACTATTTTCTGACCAGTGGGAAGGAAAAGAAACCAAATAATGGTGAGGACAGCTGAAGAATGGGATGGCAGAGCAGTGCAGGAGCTCACGCTTAGTGCCGCTGTTTTGGCTTCAGCCTTACCCGAGCTGCCTGACTTGCTGCTCTAGCAGAAGGACCCATGGCAATATTCATACTGCTGGATGACTGGGTGTCACTGGTGTTACCTCCATCTGCAGCTGAGAGCCCAGAAATCACCAAAGCACTTGAAAAACTTCGCTTGCCAAACAGCAGGCTGAGAGTTGAGCTGGTGGAAGAGGCCAGACTGGACCTGAGCATTGCTGCAGCTCGGTCCTGCACAGTCAGCTGGCCAGCAACAGGAACAGCAGGGGACTGGGAAAACACAGATGTTGCTGAATTGTGGAATGACAGCTGACTACTAGAAAGCCTTTGGGCAATTTCGTGAGCAGATGTAGATGTTTGGATGAAAGGCTGGCGGCTTTCTACAATTGGTCCAGAGTGACTTGAAGCTGGGGGCCTTTGGTTTAAAGCACTGTGTGCCTGGACAGACTGACTCCTGGGTTTTCTCCTGCCTGTAAAAGAAAGATTAATACAGTTAAGTAAGTGGCTTTCTGATGAACTCCATGCTACTGACAGTATCCCATGTGTGCATTTTACTGTTGGCATATTAACCACTATTTTTACCAGCATATGAATGCCTAGAATAACACGAGTAACATACTGCCAAATCTATGAATCTTTGTGTTTTCCACTACAGGGGTTCAGAGTTTTGGTCAGCATAGCCCTAGTGCTTCTGCACTGAGTTCAAAAGGGAGGGAAATAAGAAGAGACCAGAGGGAAAGTACTCTAATGACAGGCTGACACCTATTCTGCCACATACATTTTAATCAGTCCAGTGAATGATTATGCATAGCATTGGTGTAACTGCTCCCCTTTGACAACCACACTAATGTTGAATATCTACCTTAAATGGCTTGGTGTATTTAAATACAACAATAAAACCAAAAGCCTGTAAATTAAAACAATAGCACATTAAAAAGAATTATTCCTGCATATGGGGACAGAGAATTTGAGAATTCAACCAAATGGAAGAATACAGCATTCAAGCTATAAGAGTTTCTAAGACTCTGTCTGAGTTCCCAGAGAGATATTTACAGCACATCACAGACTGAGAAGACATGAATGCTTCTAGTTAGGGTAGACTATTGGAGGTCTGAATGAGACCCACGTAAGGCTCTTGTCCCATTCTGTGAAGCATCTCAATGCAACCACTACTGGATACAGAGAGTAGATTAGCTATGCTGTTCTGACATGCCTAGACAAATTCTTCCTGTGCATATACATCCCCATAGTTAACATTTATATCAACACCTTATGTCATTCAGGCAAATAATTTCTGCATTTCTTATGCTAGCATATTTAAATAGCCATAGAAATGAAAAATAAATAATGAAATACTGGCCAGTGAACCCACCAGATACCTGCCTGTCCCCAAGGCATTCTGCAAATGGCAGACGGCGGGCTGGCAGGTGCTACAGGCCCCAGAAGAGTTTACTTCTTCTGCAGACAGGCTCTAACCCAGGCTTACACAGCAAATACCCCATCACACGAGTGCCTGCTTGGCTTCTTTGCTTTCCAGGAAACTCCAAACATTAACACAAGCTGGCATTTTGGTTTCCTAGCTATAGCTGTGGGGTAGGGAGTTGATGCCAGAAAATCTGTTGAGAGCCATCAAGACAGATACAAGTTTTTCTGGCAGGCATTTCCAGGCTGTTGCTAATATTTTTTTTCTTTTTTTTTTTTGCTTTGGTTTTCCCCAATACCCGAACCCCTCCAAACACTGAATTTTTGCTGGCGTAAAGGAATGTAAATCTTACACTATCTTCTAGAAACATGACTGCTGAATTCATATAAGTTCCAGCAATGCAGAATTTCATATCCAAGCTATTTACAGCATAGAGCTGAAATGCGCTGTTTTACTTCCACAGACCTGCTTTCCAGAGGCTGGTATCATTATCCCCATTTTTCAGATGCTGAAGCAAAGAGAATTTAGGTAACTTGGCATGGAGTCAGATAAGCAGAGCTGGGCTACAACGCAACTGGAGCTCTTTAGCTGGACTAAAACCTAGTGGGTTTGGCAAGTATTGGACAGTTTCACACCTCATTTACAATGTATCTTTAGTTCTACTTTTATACTACAACCAATAAAATAGTAATTTTCCTAACATGGCATGCAAAGCAGCGTTCTCTGTAACAAGAGCCCCAAGATCTCTGCTTGAGAAGCGACGGGACAGATGCACATGGCTCTTGGGAAGTGCCTGGACAATGCTCTCAAGGCACACGATGTGATTCTTGGGGTGGTCCTGTGCAGAGGCAGGAGCTGGACTTTTTGATAGGCCTTGTGGGTCCCTTCCAGCTCAGGGTGTTCTGTGATCCTGTGGCTCCTGTGTACCACATTGCCAGAGTCCTCTGCCCTTCACCTGTGATCAACAGGGGGGCCCCGTGCGCTGTGGTGGGGGTCAGGCCTGGCTGCCGTGCTGGCAGCTGGTCTCTGCAGGGATTCAGGTTCTTCAAACCCTGGGGTTTGGTTTAAGTGCTTTGGTTTCTACATCTGAAGGTTATTTTAATAAGTTACCTTTTTTAAATAAAAAGAACAGGCTGGAATTAAGAACAGAGAGGCTGCGGTGTGTTAGTTTGTGCAGGGGCTAATGTGGCCCAACATCTGTTTGCGATTTAAACTGCCAGGCTGACCCCTGTCCAAAAGTGTTCTATATTCATCCCAAACGCAGTGGTTACAGCGTTGGACAGGAGACCACCCGCATCTACACATAAATAACCCTGTCCCTGAAAACACTTATGAAAAACAAAGGCTGTTCTATAAACCTCATCATGAAATAATGACATTTTGGGGGAGAACCCCACACATTTCCAGTGCTCCCGATTTCGGTTGCACTTTTATAAAGGGTTTTCATTGCATTTTGCAGACTCAGTGGCACCAAACAAAATATGAAATATGAAAAAATTAAATGCACTTGATTCATAGATTATGAGTCTAGAAGGAATTGCTATGATCATCTAGTCTGCTCTTCTATATACCACGGGCCATAGAACTTCCTGGAATGAATTCCTGTGTGGTATTATTAATTACTACTGTGATTTTTAAAAATGCATCTGGTATCTCTAGTCATGGAGAATCCACCTTAATCCTCAGTCACTTGTTTCACTGTTTATTTACTCACTCATTATTAAAAATGTGCTCTTGATCTCAAATCTGACTTTGTTTAGCTTTGTTATATCCAAGTCTTCTCAAATCGATGGTCTTTGGTCACCTTTCGTTGCCCAGGTAAGTACTTACTTACAGACTATGATCAAGGCATCTCTTACAATACCAAGTGTTTGAAAGCAATAAATCTTTCACTACAGGACTTACTTCCCAGATATTTGATAATTTTTTGGCTCTTCTTTGAAGTGCTTATAAACTAAAAAGTCATTCCTAAATTAGGGCACTAGAACTGTGTGAGGTAGCCCAGCACTGTCCTGGACCAAAGTCAGACAGACAGATACGCACTGTGGAGATCACCCTAGTCATTCTGGGTTTTAACAGGCATACCATATGTTCTTTCCCAGTGCTCTGGTATTGCCTTAGTGTCCTGATGCTTTTTAACCAGCTCTCTTAAAAACCTTCTTGAATTAGTCATTTGGATTTGCTCAATTAAGTTTTAATAGCCACTATTTCATGTTCTTTGTAGCTGTTAGGATGGATGGAACTGTTTCATGATCAGATCATAGAAACAGATTATCTGCATTTTTTCGCAATATAAACCAGACATTTCTTTTCTCATTTCTACAGATTGGCAATTCTACTTTTCTATATAGTAACAGCTCAAGATCACTGTTAAGATTTCTTTTGCTTCTTAAAACTCTTTAAAAATAAACAGCCACAAACCCACTTTAATCTTCTTGTCCCAAACTGTCCTAGCCAAAAGCAACTATCAACAATATCTCAGAAGTGAATACAGATTTGCATTTGCTATTTTCCACTTCCTTTCATATGTTGTGCATTTCTTCATTTTACCAAAAGCCAGGTTGCTTTTCTTAACGAAATATGACTTTCTCTCTTGATAGTGGTTTTCTGGGCACCCAATATGTTATTTTAGACAACTCACAATTAACTTACTTTATTGTGCTCAGGATCATTATTTCACAATTGAGTTTGTTACTCTGATTATTGGGGTGTCAAGTTATGATTATGCACATGGGGATTCCTCTAGCACTGGACTCAATTAAAAGCAGCAGTTATTTTATTCTTGTAATATGATTTATATTCAGGGCAAGATTTTTTCCACTTCTGTCCATTATCTTTAATGATAGGTCAAAATGATCTAATGGAAGACAAAGAAGTGTCATGCCCCTCTAGTCCTCTGCTTTAATTTATACGGTACTACCACAAACTTGTTGAAAGGCAGAGGTAATTGGCTTTACATTACAAGTCCTGATCCCACAGTGGTAGATCTCAGAATGACTCGCTGCCAAACTTAGAATCATAGAGTGGCTTGAGTTGGATGGGACCTTGTAGATCATCAAGTTCCAACCCCCATGTCATGGACAGAGACACCTTTCCCTAGACCAGTTTGCTGAAAGCCCCATTCTGGCCTTGAACACTTCCAGGAAGAGGACATCACAGCTTCTCTGGGCAACCTGTTCCAGCGCCTCACCACCCTCACAGTAAAGATTTTTTTCCTAATATCCAATCTAAACCTACCCTCTGTTTAAAGCCATTCCCCCTTGTCCTGTCACTACATGCCCCCATAAAAAGTCTCTCTTCATCTTTCTTGTGGGCTTCCTTCAGGTACTGGAAGGCCACAGTTAGATCACCCTGAAGCCTTTTTTCCTCCAGGCTAAGTAAATCCAATTCTCTTCACCTTTCCTCACAGTAGAGGTGCTCCCTCCCTCTGATCATCTTGGTGGACCTCCTGTGGACTTTCTGCAAAGGGTCAATGTCCTTCCTGTGCTGGGGACCCCAGAGCTGGGTGCAGCACTCCAGGTGATGTCTCACCCAAGCAGAGGGGCAGAATCACCTTCCTCAACCTTCTGGCCATGTTCCTTTTGATGAAGCCCACGACACAAGTGGCTTTCTGGGCTGTGAGTGCACACTGCTGGCTCACGTCCAGCCTCTCATCCACCAGCACTCCCAAATCCTTCTTGGCAGGTTACTCTCGATCTGTCCATATTGATACCACGGGTTGCCCTGACCCATATGGAGGACCTTGCACTTGGTCTTGTTAAACCTCATGAGATTCCCAGGCTTCTTAAGCTTGTCCAGGTCCCTCTGGATGGCATCCTGTCCCTCAGGTGCATCAACCACACCACTCAGCTTGGTGCCACCCGCAAATTTGCTGAGGGTGCACTCGATCTCTTTGTCTGTGTCTTTAATAAACATATTAAATAATACTGGTCCCAGTACAGATCCCTCAGAGACACCATTTGTCACTGATGTCCATCTGTGAGCCATTGACCACTACCCTCTGGATGTGACAGTCCAACCAATTCCTTATACTTATTACTCAACATACATGTACAATATCAAGGCCAGTAGTTCTACCCTGTCAATATGTCTGGAGTACTTCTGAATTTGAGTAGGGTCAGCTGTTCACTGACAGAATGATTGGCAGCATTTAATTTTCTCTTGGTAACTGCTGTATAGACATAAGAAGCTATTTTCCATTTGTTTGTTCTCCGCATGCGCTGCTAAACAGCCAAACCAATTCCTTAAATGAATTGTCATGGCGCTTCCAAGATGATTAAGATTGTTGCATACTTTCATTCTGCTGTTCCAGCCAAGAGTAAGCACAGGTTCACTGTGATGAGGGTTCCCTGCATCTCTCAAGTAGACTCTCTCCCATCTGCATTTCTCATTCTGGCATTCTTAGTGGCACCTGCTAGTCCAAAAATTACACATAATGGACTTTTGACAGGGGAAGCTTTGGTGAATCACGTTTGTCTTAAACTATCCCAGTAAATACCTGGAACAGTATCAGGAAGCCATCTCCTACATGGTCATTAGGAGAGACAAAGTGCTCTCTTACTAAAACCAGTTTTCCACTGGATTTGAGCATGCCCCAGAGACATCTGCCTCAGGATGCAACCCCTCAGGAGAAAGACACAGAAACAGCCAAGTAAACCGCGCACATACCTGCCCGCTGATGCACCTCTTGAGATGAAGCTTGTAACTGAGGGGTTCCATCTCTCGTGGGCTGTGAGCTACTGCTCTGGCTTGAATTGCCTGTGGAATGGTTGCCAGATGAAGACATCCCTCCACTATCCACCTCTTCAACGTTACCTCTCTCGTGGTGAGCTGCTGCGTGGCAGTCCTTCCGCATTCTGTTTGCAGGAACACATGTACAGTCAGCCACTTGTCACACATGAACATTTGTGTCACCAGTGTTAGGTGCCCTCAAAAATGTGCAGTTGTTCTCTCTTAAACCACTGCAGTCTTCTGACATTTTATGAGATGACAAAGACGATGATGTGGTAAGTTTACTTGGAACAAAACTGTATATGACACAAACCAGATCTTTCCTTGTCTATGGCTTTGGAATGCTGCAAGACCTTAGGTCTGTAGTGCTAAGTGATTTGAATGAATCTTGCTGAACATGTAGAAAGCTTTGCCATGAATGAGTTAATGAATTTTCTTTCTGCTCTATCTTCAGTGCAATTTTGTTATATTTTCAGTTATCTGCAATTACTTTGTTACTCATAGATAACAACACAGAATTACTCTCTTTTAACAGAAAATACAGTGAAACCACGACCGCAGGTTCTCTATTGGCACAGCCAAAATTTAACACCTACCTTAACCATTTGGATTTGAACCACTTTTTAATGTTGTCCAAACTGACAGGTCCCCCCCAAATGTTCCTCAGTTGGCTGTGTGTCCCAAGGTACGAGGTGGTTAAAGGGGAAACATACATTGGATATCCCAGTGGCTGATCACACGAAGAATTAATTAAGTTCCGCAAGACCTGTTTATTGTTCTGGATGCTTCCTCTCTCCGGGTTACGATTGCGTAAGAAAATCAGTTCCTGCTGCTGCCCAGCCCAAAGCCCTCTGACGCACTCCTTGTTGACCTACGGGTAGGTTAAAAACATGTGGATCATGGGAAAACCTTTGCTACTTAAGATGCAGAACTACAGTATCCAGCTAGAATGGCAGTGGCTGTGTATGCACCTCTTTGCACCAACAGCTTTTATGAACTTCTGCAGCTACTCCCTGATAAAGCCTGGAATGTTATTTCAGATACACAAACGTGGGTGCAAAATGGAAGTCAACTGAAGAGAGCTCTTTCACTCTCCAGTCTCTACTCCAATAACTACAACTGACTTCTCCTTTTGACCCCATGACTCAAAAATAATACTAGTTACCACAGCCCTAAATTACTGCAGTATTAGAAAGGTGTTATGTGTTGTACCTTGATCACCTTGAAGCTCAGGTAGCTTTTGTGGAGCATGATAACTTTATATTCATCTGCTCCTTCATCTACCACATGTCTCAGGGTCAGCAGCTCCTCTCGGTTGGAGAGCACAGCGCTGCGCCAGGCTGGGTCCCCTTCGTGACAGATCACAACCTTTTCTTCAAAGGACTGGATTGCTTCATACAAAACTGCTGGGTCCTCGTACTCATCTGGGCAGGTGAACTGGTCCTGGTAGTACAGGAGAAAGTATCAAAAAGGTCAGGTATATCTGTGAAAACACAAAAACTATTAACAATAAACAAAGCCCTGTTTTGCAAACAGTTGCCAGCTGACCCCTCCCTTGCCATTTTGTAGAGTGTGTCTTTTATAGTTAGAACAATTAATTTAACAGTATTATAAAAAGGTATTATTTTTGCTTTATTGTAACCTGTTCTAGTCTCATGTCTCCACTGGACAAAACCACTCAGAGAATGCCAGCTTACCCACTTTTTTTTTATGAAGTGCAAAACCATGGGAGGCAGAACTTTTGGGTAACCTGGAGGGAGACTAGAATCACTCGGGCATTCCACAGTTCTTGTGGAAATCCTAGTTTTTATTCACAAAAATCCACCAACAATAGCTGGGACTGGGAATCCATCAGCAGATACTGCAGTATTGTAACTTCCGCTGTCCCGCAGCACCACGGCCAGCGAAAAATTATTGTGTCAAAGTATCAGATCAGAATTCACAGCAGTTCAGTAACATTCAGAACAATTATAAGTCATTATAAAAGCATACGATACTAAATCATAACATGCCAGAGCAAGAATAAAATCAACTCCAGGCTGCGAAGGGCTTGACCTGAAATTAGCAATGAAATCAGCTATCAAATCAGTATAATCAATGTATTTCCTTTCAATTTAGAAACCATATTTATAGAATCTGTGCAAGTAAAACAGTAACAAGAGTGTCAGTTTTGTTTTGATAAAAAATGCAGGGTCAAGATCTCTTAAATGAATGGTTTCAAATGGGCAGCTAGGGGATACAGAAAAGAAGATCAAGTGAATGCAAAATAAATGCCAAGGTTTTCCATCTTGGTGAAAGATGTTTCTCAAAAAAGGCAACAAGTACTCCATTTCATTCCTTTTTTTTTTTTTTTTTTCCCCTCTCCTTTGGACAGTTGCTAAGGTTTCCTGCATTTTCCTAAGAAAACAGATACAATAGTAAAAGTTAAAATAAATAAATACATAAATACACTACCTGGTGTAGCTTCAGCGACATTCGGATTGCTGGGGCAACAACCTTATGCAAGAGATCCATGTCTGCAAAGACCCATTCATCCTTTGCTGCTATCCGAAAGTCTCCTTTGAACAGTGCATGAAGCCCATAAAGAAAAGAGTCCAAGCTGTAAGAGGAAGGCAGCAGTCACTCCCAGAAGTCACTCCCATCTCACCAAACTGGACCTGTCAGCCCCAGCCACATGTTGACTTGTGTGGTGGTCGGCGACCCTCTGGCACAGGGTGAATGCTTGTGGTGGGCATCAACCATCACAGATTTCTAATGAAAAAGCATTCCCTGGGGTAGGTGGTTTTCCTTCTCTTGTGCTGTAAACACAGCCACGAAATGAATGTGGCACCTAGAATGAAAGATGGCCTCAGGATGGGTGACTTGAGTCACAGGGTGCCTCAGGGCATTGCTTCTTTGCAGCTGTGCCAAAGAGACCAGGTCAAAGAGCGCCAGCTGCACTCTCTGTGCAGGCAGCACAAGCTGCTTCCTTATTTGAAAGTCTATTGATAAGTTCTGTTAGCAGTTCTTGTAAGGTGAAAAACCATAATTTAAAAAGCTGTGAAAAATATTTCCAGCAAGACTAAGACTTTGCCATGAAACTCAAACCTAAACGTGAGTATTAAAGCAGATGTACAGAGAATGCAGTTTCAGGAACTGTGCAGCAAACCAGGTGAGAGCACGAACCAAGCAACAGGCTTGGTTCATACTGAAACAACGAGCCCTAAAGCAAATATGCACTAGGTTTCTTTTTTCCAATTTAAGAAATGAGATGTAACCAGTTCTGCCTGACTTTGGATGATGGTTTGCCCGGACCTGAGACTTAAGCGTGAAGTAAAAGGTAAAAAAATCAAGTAGTTATTAGAAGATGGTTGCATGAAGGCTTTGTGAAGGGAAACAACCAGCCTTCAGCTCCAATCTGCACCCCAAATTATGAGCTTCCCACGCCACCACCACAGCCACTTGTATAATGCCTGTAGCAGGACTGCTGCCCTAATGCTGCTCTGAAGAAGTCATCTCAAAATAGAGGAAAACAGACCCATCTGTTAAAAACAGGCATCTCTTGCAAACCCACAGGACATAGTTTCATCTACCTGCCAAGATTTTAGTCAGTCTTAAAACAGTCGCTTTTTTAGATTGTAAAGGCTCTGAGGAGAAGCTGCATGAAGATGTTAGTGGTTTTCATTACTGCCCAGCCATTCTCTTGAGAACACATAATCTTTCTACATAATTGAGCTTTCTTATTTTAGAAAAAGAAAAAAAAATCTTTAAATGTTTTCTCTTCTCTGAGAAGGAGAAGAGAGACTGGGAGAATGCTTGGCCTGTCTTCAGCTCAAAGGCATTCTTATTTTGCTCTTGGTGGGTGGCATGTTTTAGAAGTTAAAATGGAAATATATACGTTGTTACCAGAAAAACAGCTGGATACCGATTTTCTCTGCAAAAAGCACCATGTAATACAAATCAACTAATCAGACCAAGGGCAGTGAGGAAGGCAGGGCTGCTGTTGCTGCTGGGAGCATGAGGAGTACAGGGAAGCTCTTGTGAATTCTTAACTGATTTGCATTTATTAGTGCCAAGTTACGTATTAAAACATGCCGATGTGAGACAGGCACTTACACTCAGATCTTCAAAACATTTGAGCACTGATTTCAGTGGGAGTTATTATGTGTCTTCAAGGAGTGGGTCCTGATCCCCACTGACTTTCAATTGATCATCTCCACACTTCAGAAAATTATAATATACTCAAACCCTGCTTAATAACTAGGAATTCTTAGGAAAGGCCTAGAATAAACCATGGGAGTGGCAGGGTAGGGAGGAAATGGTGGATGCAGCCAGTGTGGTGGAATATGTGACTATCATCTCCTTTGAAAAGGCTAGACATCAAGAAGGGTCCTTTCACTTGCCCACCCACTAGACAACATCAGCATACACAGCTCAATTCTTGCCTGGAAAAAACCACTTCTGTACCTAAATATTCTTCCCAGGATGAAACTGTAAAAACTACCTTGAATTCTGCACCTAATGATGATCTATAGTATAGTATTTTCCCCATGTAACTGTCCCTGTATTTGGTCTGAAAAGTTGGCTGGGATGAAGGGAGGAGTAGGCAAGAGAGAACTGGTTTTTACATCATTAGAGGCTTTCAGCGCCAAATCTGAACACCAGAGCAGACAAAGAGTTTGCATTCACATCTAAGTGTCTCACAGGCATCAGCACATGCTAAACAGGCTGGTGTGAACAGCACTATGTGCTGAAAGCACAGCCAGGACTAGGACAGCTGTGCAAACTGCTGCTGAGCATCAGCAGAGGGAGCAGAGGGAAGCACGTACAGCTCTCATTGGGCTTAGTTAGGGGAGGCTCATCCATTTCTCATCCCTCTGCATAATAAGTTCTCTAGGCCAGCATTTTTAAGAACAAACATGACTGCTACAAGGAGCAAATCAGTGGTAGGCTGAGAGTCAATTATTTAATGTATCGTATTTTCCACCAGAGCAGTCTGGAGGAGATTGCTTTATTCACAAAACCGTGGGCATCTTTTATTCTCCTGCCCATCGTAATGAGGCTTTCGGGTACATTCTGCCTATAATGTGACACTATCTCAAGCCATTACTTCTGTAACACGCAGCCCTTAATCCATATAAGATGCAGCTCTCGTTATTCTTCCCATTGTTATGCTCTCTCCTGAAGACAGTAATGAGATTATAACGAAGCTGTAAAGTCAACTGCTTTGATCTCAGGCCTGACTCAAAGTTGTTGCTGCTTTCTTGGCCCACTTTTAACATGCCTCAATTAGTAATCTACTGCGGTTACAGGCTCGTTCAAAATATTAAAAAAACTAGTTAAGGTAAAATCACATGCCAGAGAAACAACATTAATCTGTAAGAGACATAACTACTATTTCTGGTAACATTTCTAACCCCCTGAGATAACAACCTGAAAAGCTGCTGTCACAACTGTGAGCTATTTTAGAATAAGACTAGTAGGTGTGTGGGAACCGTCGGCCCCTTGAACGTGCAGAAAAGAGGGGATTAAGCAGTGCCACAAATACCAGACGGAGGGCAACAGTGCCAAAGCAAATACTCCCTCCTACTGCATGCCTTACACTGCTCCAAGAGCTGAAACTATCAGCATTTAATGTAAGCCTGAAAACAGTATGGATGAAGACTAATGAGCTGTTGAATATCTCTGTGTGTATTTTGCACATCAACCCCCATCCTCTGTCTGCAGTTTGTAGACCTTCTCCGATGTTAACTCTAGGTTTATTTAAGGAATAAAGAAATATGCATGTCTGGGAGCTGGTAATGACCTGAATGTTGCAGTTCACCCTTCTAATTTGATATTTTAGACGACAGCGGTTGTGAGCTGAGACTCAAACTTTTACTCCCTCCTGCCCTGCTCACCTCTGGCAGGCATCAAGCTGCACTGTCTGCTTGAACTCCTACTAGCAGTGCAGCATCACCAGCAACATTGTGGCACCGTGTTCTCTGTCTCCCCTCACTGTGTCTCTCTCTCCCCTCAGATGCTGGGCAGTGCAATGGGATGCCCAAATGGAAAGGAGCAAGTGGGGGAAGCTGTTTCCCTGGGCTTCAGCATAAGCAGTGGTTCCTCCAGGCAGAGGCATTCCTTGGAAGGACCCTCTGTCCACACTGAGTGGTAAGACCCAGAGGGAGCTCAGAGAACCTGTGCAGTCAGGCTTGGTAGTGTTGTAAGCATCTTATAAGAGATTTTTATATTTTTCCAAATTTGAAATGTGTACTAAACATTTATTTACTAGTAGATTTGGTGTCTGAATAGAATTATTCTGTAATTTTTTTACAAATACACACCTAAACATATCACTCATATTTGAATAAATGAATGGTAATGTCACGTCATTCTTCAAATTGCATTTTGTTCAGGATGCCTCCTAATGACAGTTTAAAAGAGCAAATGATTTGCATAGCAATGTTCTGCCTTCTTAATGAATGCATTTATTGTGTAATCTAGTGGTAATGTTAGGTTTCTACTGACATTTACATGAACAGGTACACTGAATAATTATTTACATACATTATATAAGAGCATTTAAAATCTTGGTTTACACAGTGACATTTACTGATTAATAGATTAGACAAAATCATGTGTAAATGAGTGCAAATTGGTAGTTTACATACACAATGTAAACTTGACTCTCAATTCTGCAGTGCACAGCTCAGTGTAACACTACCCTTCCTTTACTATTTCTGCACAGCAGTTGGATGACTGTCGCTCCTCCAAGACACAGCAAGGACTGGACCCAGTCCAGAGAAAGTTTCCTACTACCTGCATAGTCATCCCTGAGAACAAAACCTCAACTGCAGAGCACAGATTCTTGGCTAGTTTGCTCATGCTGAACACCTGAAAAAGATTCATACAGTGAGGAGGAGAAGAGTGCATTACCTATCTGGCCATTAAATCTCAAACTCTAGTCATGTTGTACACAACATGCTTTGCAGACAGAATTAATAGGAAGTCCTGAGACGATGTTCAAGGTAATTCCTCAGTGCTTACCAGAGCAATCTAAATCTGCATTTTTGCAATCCAGCATTCGAGTGTGACAAGGCGTGTGTTAAGGAGCCCTGACCTCTGACAAAATGGGCCAGCTCCCGACAGCCATAGATTCATAGAATGGCCTGTTTTGGAAGGGACCTTAAAGATCATCTATTTCCAACCCCCATACAGGCAGTACATCCCCCTCATGCACACAGCTGGCTGTGGGTCTGCCTGCTCTGACCATTCCTGCAGAAATATAAAACCCTCTTCAATACCAGCAGGCTCAAAAAAAGTCCCCAAAATATCATGATGCCTTTTTAAGGACTGTAAAGCATCACCTAAGGAATGGTTCCTCCAGCTTCTAAGGACCTTAAGTACTTCTTCACCACCTGACTGAATGCAGACCTGCAGCAGCCTGAGAGCTGGGGCGAGGACCAGCAATAATACTCCCAGTTACCCTTGGTGAGAGCTGCTATGTCTCTGTCAGACACAGGGAGAGGGGAGGGATACCTAACTTCAGTGCCTGAAGCTAATTCTTGGGAGCATCTCCTTCTGGCCTCATCAGCCTTGCACGTGTTGGACAAAGTGTCCTTCCCCTGGCATGCTCTATAATTGTATTCCTGTTGGAGTCTCACTGACTTACTGCTTCGTTGTGTTTAAACCACCTGTGAAGAACTGTATGAAAAAATAAACACAGTAAGTTGGGTTAGAACTTCCCTCCACGCTCAAGTGACTGTATTTGGGGGATTTCTGTTGATAAAGGTCTTGATGTCAGGGGTAACGTACCCACCTTGCTCCTTAGTTAATAATTTCTACTAAATTGATTTTGCATAGATATATACATTCTCTAAGTCAAGAATAAATGTATTTCACCAAGCTAAAGTCATGTTTTGTAGCTGCAGCAATTTATAACTTCAATTGTGCTACTCAGATTCCTTTCCTATTTCTCCAAATCTTTCTAACAGTGGAATTGTACTAAAGGTAATTTAACCAGGTGGGGAAGTGACACAGTTTTTCCACAGTGAAACTTTTCTAGGGAAAGCTTTTGTGAAGTAGCACTGAAAAAGATACTGACAGAAGGTTCCACTTAATCCCTTTTATGTCACAAAATACATTTTAAAAATACAGTGATTCAATACTGCCCTGAAGCACTTGTTTAATAAAAAGAAAACCAGGACTTAATTAAAGATAGAGGATTATATAGAATAGATTCAGAAAAACAGGGACAGAGCTGTGCACCTCCTATGACTATCCCATTTTTTGCCTTTTTACAGACCTTTCCTCCTCAAGTATTTTTAAATATGGAGTGTCAGCTCACCAAAAGAGAGGAACTAATTTGGTTCATTGGTAATTTGCCAGATTTTCAAAAGACATGTTATAACTCCCTCCTTATTGTTAAAATCTTTACAGAACACTTTGCAAATAATTATCCTCAACATTCATACTTTCCATGTTAGGCTTTGGAAAATCTCTGATAATATTATCCCTTTGCATTATCTGCTAACCATGTAAGCCAATCCAAATAGGTGACATTGTATCTGTACTAGGGCCAAAACATGGTAATGAAGATTTTAAGATTCAGTGGAAATTACATGCAATGTGATGACAGTTTGAGGAAGCTTTTGTGATATTTTTAGATGCATTTCTAATATCACTGTGACCTATCTATTGCATACCCAGATGAAAAATTACTTTAATCTTTTCTCAAACAAAAATCTCAAATGCACATAAACTTTTCCATTATATTCCCAAATTCTAAAATCTGGATATTAAAAAAAAAAAAAAAAAAAAAGGACAATTTTAGAAATATCAGTGACTTACTAAACTGATTTGAGTGAATTGGAATGAAGGGAGAGGAAATGCAACCCAGAAGAAACTACAGGAAGAGAATGTGCAAGGACTAGTAGAAAAGGCACGACAATAGGCACTTTAGAAAGCAGAAATCAGCTGCACACCAAGAAATAAGCCACGCTGACCACAAACATTTTGTGTCTCACTGAAAGAGGAAGACACGAAGCAAAATGTTACAAATGTCTCAATAGATAACAAAGCTAGAATGAATATTTAAAGGGACTGTTTTATAACAAAATGCATTCAAAATCACACACACTGTCTTTGTTTGCTTGTTAGTAAGACAAATCCTCTCTAAGGAGCACGCTGGTAGAGGTCTAGGTAGCTTTGCTCACAGTTCTGTGCCAACGCAGCAAGGTCACTTAGAAACTGTGTTTACTCAACTTCTCTATGGTTACTAAACTCCTGTGAACACAAGGAGTTCAAATAAATGTAATAAAAATCTAAAATTAGGTGAGAAGTTAAACTTCATGAAAATAAAGACTAATTATTAAAATGCTTTATCTATAGAACAGTGTAAATTGTACTGTATAAAACCCAAACAGCTCACAAATCCTAGTGAAAATGGAAGAATCCCTAAGGAAAATAAAAGATGAAGAAGATTTTCAGAAACAGTCTTAACCAAACATATTTTAATTAACCAGACCTCCTAGGGAGAAGTGTTTTGAATGAATGAACAAATGGGTAAGGTAGACTGTGAATAGACAAAGCTGTAGTCTCAAGAGATGTGAGGTTCTGGCTTCCTTAGTTGCCAGAATGAAGTGGCAAATGAACAGGAACACCACTCTAAGGAATACAGAACCCTTATGGATTTATTATTATTTAGCTAACTAACAACAGTTTCTTCCTCTTCTGGAAGTTTCTTCCTTTTACTGGAATGCTGGAGGAAGCCAGCATTCCAATAGCCAGGCATGAGTGAACACAAGCAATAACCACTGGTACCCATTCTTTCAATGAAAAATTCTGCTTTGCCCTATGAAATAAAGACTGGTGTTAGTTATTTAGCCAACTACAAAGTAAAAGATGACCAGGGATGGCAGAAAACCAACTATTTTTTGGAGGAACGAGACTTTACTTTGATCTAATATTCTCTTGATATTCCACATCACGTGAAAAAAAGACAAACAGGTCTTTGTTCTAACATGAGGAGAAAGGGTTCCCAATAATTACCTGATGGCCATATTGTGAGATGCAGTTCCCAAAGCTCTTCGACCCAATATACACAAGGCAAAGGAAAGCGTCACTAGAGGAGAATCTTCATCGCTGTCCAGGTGCTACAAGATTTTAAGATTAGCATCTTACTCTAAATGCAAATACCATCTTTAAAAGCACCACAATACCACAAATGGTAACACACATAAAATTTGCATGTAGCTGGACCTACTAACAAAAACATTCTTTGCAAACAAAGAGAACAAGAAGGAAGATCATCACCGTCAGAGGCTTTTTGCAGAATGCAAGCTTATTTTGCCCACTGGCTAGAAACAGAACATTTTGTTCTCTGGTGGTGAGATCCTAAGGGAGTGGAGCTTTGAGGGGGTGGGTATTTTTTGTGGTGTTTTTTGTTTGATTCCACTCCTCCCCAACATAACGTGCTAAACCACAGGAGATTCCTTATTGTTGAGAGACACTGCAATTGGAGAGAGCCCAAGCCCTTCTCATGGGACACAGTTCCTATGAAACCCCGTCACAGATTCCAGAAGAACAACCTATGTGGAAAAGTTTGGAGGCACACTCTTGCATTGAATAACAATATCTATCTAAATTGTGTACCATTGACGACACTGACGTCACATTTTAACAAGCAGTCAAATCATTTCATCTACATTTACTAGCTCAGGAGAGATTCTTTTACTGAAATTTTCATAAAGAAAACGTTGCAATCAAGCAGGAGGGAAAAACTCAAACAACCCCTCATGCATGTTAATCTTCAGGAGGATACAGATTATTATTTCAGTCCATGCAATGAGTAATTTCTTATAGCTTTCTTTGACTCTAAAACTGAAACCAATTAAGATGGAGAATGTAGCCACTTCTATAAAATACATTGATTTCCAGGGTTATGTATGCAGTGAAGTTGGTCTTTTTCATCTCATTTCCTACATGAACTTTACCTCTCTGTAGTCAGTGAATTAAAAAACAAAGGTAAAAGATGTAAAAAAAAAAAAAAAAAAAAGTGAGTGTGCACCAGTGCAGGCATTCATTTGCCTTTTTAAGTTCTGACTTACATGTTTCAAGTCTATTGACCTCCCTAAGTCTGTTATGTACTTGAAAGTCTCAGCCACAGAACAAGTGAAAAGGCATAATTTAACAGCACTTTCTCTGCACTGCAATTCTTTGTGTGTCAGAACTTGGGAGATGAGACACAGAGATGAGAAAAAAAAAGAGGTGAAATATTCCCTACTAGGAGGAGATGGCAGGGAAGGGCTCAGAAGACAATCCAGTGAAAACAATACCAATATAATGATACGCAGAGGAACTGGTGGAATGGTATTTGGCATTAGAGATGTGAGAAGGAACCAAAGTGGAGAAAAAACATTCAGTGATGTTACAAGAAACATTCAGAGATATTACACCAGCTGAGGTCAGTGGCAGCAAACGGGATGTGCAGTCTGTGATCCTGAGTGAAAAACGCACCAATACAGCGCACGGTGGACAGGAAAGATACACTTCTCCATTTTTGCCACTATCAGCACTAATCAGAAAATTAGATTGAGGCAATACGCTTGTTTGAAACTGTATTCTCCCCCGTGGGCTATTTTGAGTATTCCATGGAAATACAGTAGTGCATTTCTGACAAATGACTGCTGACCATCAGTTATCTCATGGCTCGAAGCATGCAAATGCACAGCTGCAAACCTGCCCTTGACCTTTGAGAGCTGCGAGGCAGTTCCACGCGGTTTTGTGGCGTGGCTCACGTTTGAGTTACGAGCTCTCCGAGGTGACCGATGCCAGCAGTGAGTTTGCCATGCACTTCCCTACCATTCTGTGACGGTACCCAGATACAGGCAAATGTTTGAAAAGGATACACAGACATCACAAATGTTTGGCAAATGTGCCCGATCATTGGCAACACTAAAGAAACAGTAATTCTGTGATGACATTGCCTGAATGGAGCCAGCTCTAGCAGTACTTCTGCAAGCACTGGATATATCCATGCTCTCTAGAACTGACAAAATTAACCTTGTTGGAAGAGTGCAAAATAAGGAAATGGTTCTGTATTCAAAAACTACCACTCCTTAAAACTCTAGTTTTTGCACAAGGGTAGTCTCCAAAATATGGTTTCTTTTATTCCACAAAACATATATTTTCCTTTTTATTTTAAATGTGAAAGCTTAAATAAATTTTATTCTATTAAATAAATTTTATTCTATTAAATAAATTTTATTCTATTAATCCTGAGCAAGTAAAAGGGTAACAATGCATCACTTAACTCCTATTCCAAGAATTAAAACTACTACTACTACAACAACAACAACAAAAAACCAAACCAAAACCAAAACAAATTGACTCTTACCTCTTCTCTTTTTCTAGCACAGAACTGAATCCAGTCCAGATAAACACTGCAGAAACTAGCTCTCGTTATTCCTTGGAGGCACGGAACATAATCTTCATCTATGTTAACGTTAAACATTGCAAGGTCACGTTCAATATAATGCCACTTCGCATAAGGCTGCAGTATCTTTTGGATGGATTCGTCTTTTATCCAGTCAAGGATTTTGGGAGAACTTGCTGTAAAGTATATTATACTCTGTTGACAAAATGTGCAAACGTTAGTCACTCTTATCTCTGATTAAAGCATGTATAATTTACACAGAAGAGAATTAAATCAAATAGGACCACATTAACTAAATATAATGGTACGTATTTTTCCTATTTTTTTACTGCTTGGCATCATTGCTTCACAAAAGTGTTCAAGGTAGAAAGATGAGAATAACTGATATCTAAACAGCAGACAACAGAAAAAGAAGTAATATTTTTAATACTCTTCTACCTTGCAGGAAAATTAATACAATGATGGGAATAGAGAGTTCTAGCATTCAAACATGTTAGTTACAGAATACTAGTGGGGTTCTAGAGTCTATCACCAAGATATCGATAACAGTTTAGGCATATTTTAAAAAAACAGTAGTAGATGATCATATGCTCAAAATAGGGCTCTTTTTTCCTCAATGGACTTACTGTTTTATGGTGATGAAGCTTTCCCAGTTCTTTAACAAAAACAGCCCAATAAAGGTGAGATGTCACAGATGGGTATGACACAAGTCTGAAATGTCCCATTTTAACTGCTGTTTTCTTTAGGTATTTAGTAGTACTGGTTTTGTTATTTGTCAGTGCAGCTGGTAAGGAATAATGGATTTTTTTTCTTACATGTCAGTTTAAGAAGTTGATAACTGATATAATTGAGTTTACTTAAAGCACTGAAGGAGGAGCAGCACTCAGCAGGAGCTCTTTTATCAAATGCATAAATATTAGAAAGCAGCAACACTTGTATCTCATATCTAAGCCTGAGTTTCTAAGTTTAAGTTCTTATAATCACTGTGTCTGGAGACATTAAAATAATAACAAAGAAAATAGTAATTAAAAAAAAAAATCTATCTAAACAAAACTTAAAGCATACTTTCAAAAGAATATGAAGCTTAAGAAGTTCCAATGCTTTCCATCAACTGGGAAGTCCCACTTTAATGTTTTATGAGTATAATAATAATATATTAATTTAGAATTGGATCCCAAAGTAAATGAGGAGCAAGTGTACACAAATGAAAAGGATGTAGTTCTACTTTACACAGTCAGTGGAAATACTACTAAGTAAATAAATGTACAAAATGAAAAAAGGATGGATTACAAAGGGCAGAAGCACTACCAGCCCCTTTAAAACACCCAAATGCTCTCCACGGTTTATCTTTCAAACTGTACAAAAAAATATACAACTAAGAGGAGAATTAGGCTTCAGAGGAAAAAGACAAGTCAGACAGATACAGACTGAGGATGGACCTTTAATTTCTTGGCATGTGGAGAAAATACACTCTTTAGAAAAGATTCATGCAGAAACAATAGAGGCTGAAAATACAGAACTCAGCAAATACAGACTTCTTGAATACTAAAAGATGTTTAAATAAGAATGTATTGAGAAGAGATGGAGGAGGCACAAGGGAAAAATATCACAGTAGCTGGGAAGGAAATGATTTCAAAACATATGCAGAAAGGCTACAGGAGCTGACCCACTTTATTTTTAGAGAATAAAAATCCTTTTATAAGAAGAAATGTTTCTCAGCTGTCAATGAAACTGCAAATGAAATAAATATGACTTAGGAATAAGATGCTCAGTGCAACTCATTGTTTAACAGACCAATACGGTAATTATTCTTGAAGGATAGAAGAGTTGAAACAAAGCATACATTCTCTCCGTTGATCTTCAGGATAGAGTTTGCTTTTTTTATTGTTCTCATCTGTGTTTACAAAGAAGCCAGCTCGGCTGGGGAAAAAATCAGACTCACAATCAGACACAGAAACAGTGAAAACTTCTGTCACCTAATTAAATTTTGCTCTTGGTAACTCTTCCAAGGTATGTTTTGTGCACAAGTACATCCTCGGCTACATTGCGATTCAGAAATGGTATTTACAATATTGTAAGCTACAGAGAATAAAGCAGGAACACTCCCAAATGCTCTGTGCAGTGGAAGTGCAGTTCCTGCAGAAACTCCAGCCTAAGTGTTTTCAGAGTTTGCGATAAGGATGTGACCTGAATACTGCATTAACTATAGTTCTTCTTACAATAAGTTTCCTACACCAATAAAAAGGAAGTGTCAGGGCTTTAAGATGTTCACAGTGAAACTGCACAGGGTCTTACTCAAGATTTCCCCATAAGAAAGAGCTGGGAAAGAATTGAATTCTCACCTCTGCTTCTAATACTCTTTATTTGGAGGCAAGCACTAAAGAAACAGGACAAAAGCTGATTTGATACATAACAATCTTCTCACCTTCCAAAGCTGTACTAAGGAATTTACCAAATCTTTTTAAAGCTCTTGTTGATGGAAGAAACTAATTAATTTAAGAATAGGAGAAGACAATCTCCATATAACTTTCTTCTGAGGAGTGTCATTCTAAAGCAAAGATCTCCTCAGCTCACTCTCCCTTCGCAGAAGGGAGCCCCAGCCCAGGCTAATTCTGAAGTTGCCAACAAGTTATTATTATCTTCTGTTATTGTCTTCTGTTCATCCTTCCCTAAGAAGAGAAGTAAACTAAAGGATCAACACCTTTCTGAGAATGAAGATCTGTCAGTGCAGTGTTATAGTACTGGCTCAACTAAATCCAAGCAAAAGAAATTCAATTTTCACATCTTTGGAGCCATCAGTGGTAAACATAAAATCTGCATATGGTGGAGATGCAGCCACAGCCACACCTCAGTGGTGTGGAGATCATTTAACCCACATCCCTTTTACTCAGAACAGGATCAACTAACCACATCTGTATCACATGGGATGAAAATTTGTCTAAGCCATCTTACCTATGTCAGCTGCTTCTCAGGTGTGTCCAGAACAAGAAGCCCTAAAATACCTTTCAGTTAAGTTTTACTTCCCGTGTGATGAACTTTACACTTTCCACAAGTCCTCTATACATTAACTGATTTAAAGGCACAAAAAAAGTTCCAGTTTACACAGCACAATTCTTCACTGCTGTAAACTAATAAGATGCTCTTTTGATTGCAGTTTAGACTAGGATTTTTTTAATCTCATTCGCCATCAAAAGCTGAGTCATATGTCAGTTTGCATCAGTTTATGTTCCAGTTATTCAGGTTACCTTTTAAAGTAAAGGGAAGCAGTAGTAGCAACATAGTCATTTACAGTTTAAAGAAGGGTTGGTTTTTTTGTTTTGTTTGGGTTTTTTTACTTTACATACCTTGCTTTAAAATAATTTATAGCCACAAAACCCACTTCTAAAATGAAAAAATCATGCTCACATGCAGTTTTGTTTCTAATTAGTTAATTAAACAAAGCAGGTTGGTTACCAGGCTGTACTGCCTGGAAAATTATTTATGAAATCTCAGTCTGCATTTTACAAAGTAATCAACTGCATGATCAAAGCAGTTTTGTAAGGTAATGAGCTTGTTTTTACTACACTGGCTCATTTGCAAAAAATGGTGATTAAGTTATTTACAACAGGTCTCTCTCTGAGGTTGACATATTGTTAAAATTGCAGAGATATAAGTAGAAAGGAGATGTCAGAGATGGTTGGGAGCTTGAGTAAGTGGCTTCATGGCAATACCAGTGGCATAGGAAGCAGCATTTGGCTCTTGCTGTTTCAGTAGAAGACTATGAAGCTCAGCAAATTCTTCATTTGCTGGACTGGTAATTGTTTTGGCAGAGGATGAAGATGTCTTGCTAGATTATAAGGTTCAATTATTTTGACAAATTAGTATCTGTGTGGTTATTGTGATCTTAATAACAGAGCAAACATAGAAGGGATGTAAATGAACTGCTGTTTGATCAATGGAATAAACCAACTTCAAATGTGTTGTGCTATGTATGTAAAACAGAAGGTAAAAAGGGAGTTTGTGCTACTAAAAAAGTACATTTGAGAAATAGTTCTTCAGATGTTTCCCAAGAACTTTATGCTTGTTAATATCTCTTTTTTTTTTTTTCCCAGAACAAAAGAGCAGTGAAAAGGCCAAGGCAAGAAGAAATAACAAACAGTCAATGAAGTTTTTTTTAGAATGCAACAACATAAGTAAGAAAGCTTCCTCTGACTTTATCACTAGAGGATGTTTACTCACCTTGATTTCTGCTGAAGCATACCTGAGATTTTCCGTACTAACTGTAAGTGATCAGAAGTAAATTTAGCAAAGGAAGATATGAATTAATTATCCCTATTCCAGTGTAAGGTGTCCCTGCTCATGGCAGAGGGGTTGGAACTAGAAGAACTTAAAGATTAACCCAAATGATTCTATGGTTCTGTGAGCAAACATCAAGTCTGTCCAGCTGCCAGAGTGTTGTGTAGACAAATAAACATAAAGCCAAAAATTTCAAATGCTCTTTCTTCTATAGACAGCCAGCATTTCTTCTGTTTGACAAACCTGCCTAGGAATAATGTACACTTTACCAAAGAGTTTACCTTGATATAGTATCTGATAAGTATTCTCCGCAGATCGAACACTTGCAGCATTGTTGCAGCGTTGTTATCAATGATGCTGTATCCTTCCAGGATGTACTGGGTTCGTGTTATTTCCCACGTCAGCCATCGGAGGTTAAAGGCTGCATTGCATGATAACAAGTGAGGCAAGTGGCCAGGCTTACAACAGCAGCAGCCTTCGTTGTCTTCATCCCCTTCTGTTATAGCTTCCACTTCTCTCTGCTGGCAATATGTCCCTTGGCAGTGAGAAAAAGAGAGTATGCTGCCAGTTATTGGGGAAGGAGGAAACAACGGACTTCTTCCAAGCTCAAATTTTAAGTATGTTTGGAGGCTCTAAGCACTTTACAAAAATCTAAAGGAAAGAGCCACAGCAACAAATTAGATGTGCTAATTGATCCATGTGCAGCAGCAAATAAAGAGCTGTACATTAATTATTTACTATCACCTAATAAAAGCCAAAAGGGCCTGATCTAATGTTCTGAGCGTTGGGTTCTGAGCTGAGCTAAACCACAGACCGCAGCTTCTGCCTTAATAAAAACTCACCGGGAAGCAACGCTAAAGAGTCTCGCTCCATAAGGCACATTAGGCAAATTGATCCAAGTCTCAGTCTGCTTCTTCAACTAACATTAAGGACGCAAAGAAAGATTTTACAGTGTGTCAGAGTACTTGTAAAATCTGGGTTTTAGCAAACTATCTTGGAAAGCACGTTCCAAAAATAACATCTACTGGGTTGTTCTCTCTCCCACTGGAGTACAAGCTACTCTGGATCAAACATCTCTAATGAATAGCACTAGTGGCAGTACATCACGAGAAGAGAGCAGCTTTCTAATTAGTCTATTACACAGGCTTTAGATCAGAGTAAATTTTTCTAAAAAAGAAGTGTTAACTCAAAAAGAAATCATAAGGCAGATGCAGAAACAATAATGCGGACTCAGCATTTCTAGCCTGCGCTGCACACACTCGATGGTCAAGCTGAGCCCTTGGGGATTTGAAATCTAGGAATGTGGTTTCTATACCGTGTACGGCACCACTAATAAAAGCTGAGGCAGACAGCCATGTGTTCACCCAGTACTCTCAAAATACAGGATTTTTCCGTTCATGATTTCTGTATCTTTTTAGAATTTACTCTCCATAGGCTGTTGCAGAGTTTGTAGATAAACCATCTTTCAAGGCCATCTCCTATGATGCAAGTTACACACGTCATGCACAGGCCTTCTGCCAGAGGTTGAGTATCACCCCACGGACTGCTGACCCCATCAGCTTCCAAAGAGTCCCAACAGGAGAGGAAGATGCTAGACACTGTGTTGCAGTTTAACAGCTATAATTCCCTGCCCACCAATTCCTTGCTGACTGCCAGTACCCCAAAAGAGAGCCAGGAGCAAAGCAGCATCCCAAAGGCATGACAATTGCTGGGCCCTTGACTGTCTATCCCAGTCCCATCACAACTGTCTGGTCAACAACCTGTGAACTTGTACCAACAGAAGTAGCATTCAGAATATTCCTTCCTCCTCACTAAGAAAAACCTTTCAAAATATAACAAAATATGATTAAATATTGCCTATCACCTTCTCTTTTGTTGCCTGTACACCTTCTAAAATGTATGCAGCAAGTAAAAACATACAAGAAAAAAGAACAGAAAAATCTGAAGGAAATGTGTGAGAAAAATAGGATTATAATCTTAAGAGGTGGGGGAAAAAGATCCAGTATATTCCAGTGATCTCTGTTCAGTTTGCTATGAATGAAAATTTATACTGTGAACCCAGTGTTGTTCACACACTGATACACATTCCTCCTTAGACTTCATGGATAAACAATATGAAAAATTATGAAATGTCTTCAGGTCACCCAAATATAAACATCTTTCCTTTCAACACTGCCACAAAGTACAAAACATGACCTAATAATAAGCTGACATTTCCAGTTGGACTGGACATGAACTGGACTGCTTCTGCTTCATATTTCACAGATTTCTACATGAATTAACACTTAATTCCTCCACAACAAAAAACCCAAGAACTTGCTTTGGGTCAGCGAATGCTTCTGTGAAGTCAAGTCAAAAGACATCGTACTCAAACTGAAGTAGGGAAAGCATACTCCTTTGTACATTGCTTGGAAGGAGTAAAATAACTACTCCATGCTGGTGCTGTTACTATTGCTGTTACTTTTATTTCTGGAAGTTTAAAGGTCTCTCAGTATTACACTGAATTTAAGAGAAGATAAATCGTCATGCCAGATGCTAAATTAAGTATTGCCAAATATTTATAAGTGATGAAAAATGAAAAACAGAAGCCTAATGAACAACTGCCACTGAATCCCTTACAACCTCAGGAAATAAAGATGGTTTTGCTCAATCTGTGAAAGCCTATTTTTCAGGTTTTTTTTTCTCTTGATATGGAAATACCATATTTTATTCCTATGGTTGTTTCTACATGTTCTCTGTATTACCTCTATTAATAAATGCCAAATATTATTACTGCAGATTCTGTAATTACTAGTTTTCTTAGGACACATATTTTATAAAATACAGGGCCTAAAGAGACTACATAGGCAAATAAAAGGCAAATTCAAGAGACCCTCAATGTTTAAAGGAAACTGTCATCACATGCATAACAAACAGAAGATAATGCCAGGACAATATTTGCATTCTCAACTAATTCAATAGGGTAAAATGTCTCTAAGTCATCTTTGCTGGGTAATTTTAATCAAGCAAAGTTAAAATTATACTACAGTGGGAGCAATCAATGTTGAACCTCAGGAGCAAGAGACATTCTAAAGGGGACTCTGTTATTAAAAAAGCTCTGGGAACCAATGAAACAAGTTCATGTGTTTGTTTTACAGATTTATTCCAAAGAATGTGCTCTTCAACATCTGGCAAACATGCACTTGATTAACAAAAGTTCTTTGATGGACTTGGGTACTACCACCTTGGGGATTTGGTGTCTTTATTGCTTGCAGAGCCTCTGGGGTATCCCTGTTAAATTTAAAGGTGTAATCTGAGCCATGGCCAATGCTCTGACAAAACACCAAATGCTCATTCCTAGCATCATCTGCTGATTAGTATTTCCAAACAACATCTAGTAAAGAGACTCAAGTCTGTAAAGACAACATTCAGGCTTGATGCTCAAGTACATGTTGGTTCCCTCCCAGTTCTTGCAGTCAGTTCTAGAAAGACTGCCAGTAATTTTCTCTCCTCTCCTCTTTAATGAAGCCTTTCTTTAATCCATAATACACTGGCTGGATTTCAATCCCAGACTGGCATTTTACTGAAAAATTTCATTTACAAGTGCCTACATCAATCCTTTTTGGTTCATTACTCCAGACTCTGGTACCACAGAGACTAAGAGCATGTGCTCAGCTTCATGCACTGAGCCAGAAGGGACAAGACACATTAAATGAAGTTAAGCATTTGTGTACATCTTTTACAGAAGGATGACCCTAAACTTTTCTGTATATTTCATAAACTGATGATTTAAATGACAATTTTTTATATTGCTTCTCAAAAAATTATCAAGTTCAAGCAACTCTGAGAGAATTATTCATAATACCAAAGAGCAGGGAACAGAACGTGCACTTCAGTTCTGCAATATAATTAAGTGTAGTACCATTAAATATTAAAATACAGGAAAATGTTTTCACTGGTAATTAGTCATTTCTAAATCTGAGGGAACACTTCTTTTTTTACATTTCTTTCTGCAGAAAATAAGCTCAAGCACTTCACTGAAGTTTAATCTTTCACTCTGACCCTTGCTAGTATAGATAAGATCAATTAATTTGTAAGGTATCTAACACTGGATGGTTGCCAAAAATCCATCAGTGTCAAAAAACATGTGCCAGCTGAATAAAGCAAGGTCAGCCTTTGTGAGCTCAGGAGAAAACCAGGTTGAGAACTTGGAGCTCTTTGTATTTTCCTGACGCATCAGGATTCGAGGACTGACTTGCGCTCTGCCAGAGTGATCTGACCTAAATGGAAATGGGAAAATTGAAACTGAAGACTGTAATCTTGCTCCAAGAGGATACATCAAATACACCTAAATGAATGACCATCTAGCCTTCTAGAATTTAAGGCTGAAACCATAGTGTGTGCTTTTGAATTCAATTTTGAAAACTCAAGTGTGTGAAAAGCATTTTTCAAGTTCTGAAGGACCAGAAAGAAAAATCCGTAACACAACCACACAATTCTAGGAGCAGTTTTAGTTTCCATAAAACACTTCAGTTTAACAACACATCCAGAATGGGGACTAATTGTTGTGGCTGAAGGTAGCAATAGCTTGAGCACTGAGGATTGCTGACATATAAGCAACTTTGGTGCAAATGTACACAGAAGGGCTCAGAGGGTTCCTGCACCAGCCTCACCCCACAGACACTAAGATCATCATGAATCACTCTCCTGCACTAGGCACTTTAAACTCTGTGACCCCAATATCCAGTTTTGGGCTAGGGAATGTAACTAACTGTTAAGTCTGAGAGATGGAGCTGGATATGGAAATGGGAGCCATGAAGAAGGACTGAAGCCCAGGGTAACTCCTTTTGTAGGCCATGCAGAGATCTCTTCACAGACGACTCCACAAGAAAGTCTGGTTGCTCACTATTTGTTTGGCAAAACCATAAAACACACAAATATTTTGCAAACAAATGCATTACCGTGGAATTATGTGACTGTGCTCCAACGAGCTCTGCAGCAAATATGAGTATTCCCAAATTCTGATGGATAAGGCTCACCCAACATTTTTTTCTGCTCAGGATAGCAGCTTAATAAGCATCAAGTTGTGACACAAAAGAAACACAAGGAGCATAATTACAGTCACTGAAAGGCCATCCTCTCCTCAAACACACATCAGATATACTTCTAGAAACACAAAAACCCAGTACTTCCAAGAGGAGTGAACTGAGCTCACAAATGGAAACTCGTGAACCCCAGAACTAGACACATTCTGGAAACCAGTGACTTTTTTGGTTCCTTCCTGCTCTTTTTGCTTGTGGAACTGGGATTAAGAACAGTGATTTATAAGCTCTGATAGTCTCAGCTTTGTTTCAAAGGAAAATCTCGCAATTTAAAAAACAGTATCAATTCCTCAGACATCAAAGCTGTTAGTTATAAAACTGTGGTTTGGTTTTCAACTGTTTCAGGTACTCGTATGCCTGAAAAATAATGTGGTTTTCAAACCAGATCAGTTGCTGTTATAACAAGTATCCCCTCTCCTCAGAAACCTTTTCTTGGTCCACAGAGACACATTAA